GGACAGCCTGGAAGGAGCTACAAAGACGCAGCCGGCGTCAGTGGCAATCATAGGGCATCAGTCTTTTTAATGTAAGGCTTGCACAAAGGGTTCAGCTTCAAGCGCAGAAAAACAAAACAAAACACAAGCGAGTACAAATGAGGAAGCCTCACCCACTGTCAGCAAAGCGCATGCCCCCAGCATTCGCTCTAAATGGTCGAGAGACCCCTGCACAGCTTCTGCATGGCCCGGGCAAATCACAAAGTTGCCGCGCCAGCGCTCGTAGAGCCACGTGCCTCCGGCCACGGATGTGGGAGAAATTAAGACTGAGGAGCAAGTTCATTACTCGAAGGTCAAGACACTGCAACGAAAGTTGCTCACGGATTGGATGAAAGCATCGGAGTGAAGAACACTGAGCATCTATGTAGCTGTCCGAGTCGAAAATTTCACGGCATTGGAGAATGATTAGAAGCAAGCTGAAACCATGCATTCAATCAGCTTGACGTAACATGACACATATAGCTGAGCATTGCCCTCCTGCAACTGTTCAAGCACCTCATGGGAACTGCCTCTGCTCCCTGCAAGCTGCCACCAATGAAGAAACAAGGACCGCGCTTGCTGTTGCCCCTTGCTCCTGATAAATGGCGCTCACTACATCAAGTATGCCAAGCAGTACCTGCCTAGCACTATTTGAATGATTCAACTGACGGGGGCCCAGCACCTGAAACTGACCACTTGCATGGGGTGTGTGTGTAAATATATATATATACAGAGAGAGAGATGTGCACATATAAGACACCAAACATGTGTGTAAATAAATATAGGTAACGAGGGAGCCACTTGGGGTGGAGACCCATCGAACAATTTGCGTCAGGCATTGGGAAATACGCCCGACCAACGCGTGTGCCTTCCATGTGGCAAATGAGCTCGTAGCCTCAGCCACGTTGCGTCTTTCGCAAGCGAAGGGCATTGCCAACCTCAAGGCTCAGCATCTCTTGCACCTGTGGCACCCCAACGAAAGTGAGCATCAAGTAGTCAAACGAGTCATTCCACTCAAACTCGCCTCACCTTGCCTCCCCTCACCCATCTGCAATCTGGTGGAGTCTCACTGAACAGTCGCATGAATCATTGCCTGCTTGCCCTGGGCACCCCCGCCAGTGATGGCGACAGGCCCCTTCAAGTTGAACCTTCGCCTCTTCAGCTCTGCTTCAAAGTACGCCTGGCAATGGGCCAAGGCACCCCAGCGGGCCTGGCCTTCCAAGCTGCAACTGGCTTCGAAGAATATTCCGGTGGCAGAGCTGGCACACTGGACACGGCATTATACAAGCCCCGGCATCTGTCGGATCCGGCCTGGCCATCAGTGATCTGAATCGTCTCAAGAGGCAGTGCTTCCGGGTTGCGGCTTCCATAGATCTCTCCTCAGTCAGTCGCAGGACCGTTCCGAACAAGACCTGCGGCGTTCAATTGCATAGGGAGATGAGCCCACAGCCGAACCCATCTTTGCTGGGCGCTATCCATAAGGGCCCATCATCGGCAGGCATGACATCTGTCTGACAAATGCCCCGTTCCAACATGGCAATCTTCAATCTAGCTGCACATGTCATTCCTGCCATAACGCAAGCCGCCGCTTACTTCTTCTCTGAAGAAACTCCCTTGACCGCCAAATAAATTGTGATTCTTGGCCGAGCCTCGAGGCTTTGGATACAGAAGGCGAGAACAAACAAGGAACGAGTACCTATCACACAAACACACACACACACACACACACACACACACCCACCCACCCACCCACCCACCCACCCACCCACCCACCCACCCACCCACCCACCCACCCACCCACCCACCGCACGCACGCACGCACGCACGCACGCACGCACGCACGCACGCACGCGCACGCACGCACGCACGCACGCACGCACGCACGCACGCACGCACGCACGCACGCACGCACGCACGCACGCACGCACGCACGCGCACGCGCACACGCGCACACGCGCACACGCGCACACGCACACCCGCACGCACGCACGCACCCCCACACCCGCACCCGCACCCGCGCCCGCACCCGGACCCGCACAGCCCGCGCCCGCGCCCGCGCCCGCGCCCGCCCGCACCGCACCCGCACCCGCACCCGCACACGCACACCCACACATTCACACACACACACACACAGCCACTCACCCACCCACGCACCCACCCACCCACCCACCCACGCACGCACGCACGCACGCATGCACACAGCAGTGATTTAAAACAAAAACACCGGTGAGATGTCCGTCAAGTACTGCAGCGAAGCGGCGCTGGCTGTGGACCTTCACCCGCGGCCAGCCCCTCTCCAGGCCATAACTCAGACATCGTCGCAGCAGCCGCAGCGGCCACACACTGGCCTCCAGCCTGGTCGCCAAAACCCCAGACGACTTCGATATGGCGATGCTTGCTGGTCAGCAGTGAACGCTCTTCTGACCCCATTCGCCCATCCCAGAACCAAGCGACAAGCAGCTGCCCTCAAAAGTGCAGAGAGTGGCAAACCAGAACTTGAATGCGGAGGGAACCTCTAAGTCAAAGGAGAGCATTGCCAAAGGGCTCTTAGTCTTTCCAAGTCCAAAGGGATAATTATCTTGAACGCAATGCAAGTGATCCAGCCGATTGGAGGAAAATCAGGTGCATATGTTTCCCTTTTCCAATTGGGCCGGGGTCAATTGAAATGAACACTCTTGGGGATCCATGGCATGTGATGATCACGACATGGATGTGGTAGCGCAGCCAGCATCAACACTGCTCTCATGCATCGTGGGCCCTGCTGAGAAAACCAAAATTGACCTGCTCCACTATGAGTTGCATGAGTGCATTAACTGACTTCAACCAAGGCAGACCAGCCCGATCAGACGAGGCAGCCCGTGGCTATCCACCGACTTGCGATCTGTTGGCCTCCTCGGGTTTATGGACCAAGCAAAGCAAGCAAAGCAAGCAAAGCAGCCCAAAAGGCAATGCCTCCCGCACATCAGCAAAGTTCGCCCCGCAATTTTTGTCCGAGTGGCAGGGGTGCATACATGGTAAAGAGCACGCCCGCATCGAAAACGAAGCTCAAATAACCTCCGCCAGGCGAAGGAACTGGTGTGGTGTTGGCCCGGCATTCTACCTCTCTCCCCCCCCCATCCAGGAAAGACCTGTATGGCGAGAACCGAAGGCCACAAAACGCCATGTTGCGAGACCAGCTCACTATCCATGGCACATGCTCCTGCCCAGCCATGGAATCAGGGCCCAGGCTCCCGACAGTGTGCAGGCAAGAGGCGGACGCAGTCGTTCATTTGCAGCCGCAGCGCCTGACAAAGCATCGGCTAAAGGGAGAAGCAAATGGTCTGGAGTCCAAAGCACTAATTTCAGAATTGAAATCATGGCCCGAGCATCAGCTTCTTGTGTTAGAGGCCCATGGACAGGTGCAAAACAGTCAACAACCAGTAGCGGAAAACACTGCCCGCTAGTGCCAACCTGTAACGAGCAGCAGAAGTCCGATCAACAACGACACAGAGTGACATAAGGTAACAATCTAACAAGTGATAAAGAGACCAGTGGTAACAAGTTTCTTTTCATTCAACAAGCGCATGTGAAAACTCTCACTGGGAATCTTTGCACACGGAAGCAGATGGCCTTGTGGCGCTGCACAAGGCGTTGCACCGCGGAGGTCAAGGCGGCACGGTGCACAGGCCCGTCCTTCCGCAGCACCCAGTGGCCCATGGGCGACACCTCAGCCGACGAAAACGCAAAAGCCAAAACTTCAAAACCCGACGAAACATCTCATGACATGGTTCGAGTGCATCTGTACAAAAGACCAACATGTTCTTACACGCGCATCAGGATGCTCAACATACCCTAGAGTAGCAGGTCGGTCGCTAAAACATGGTTAAATAAGGGGCTGGTCCAACTCTGTCCACGATAAGACGGGCACAAAAAGAAGGGGCCGTTTAGTTGCCCCTTCCGAGATCATCCCACCAAAGGCAAACTTGAACTTCTCATGGCAACCAAAAAGGGGCTTCAAGCAACCAAGCCTCAAAAGCTTGGGCAGATCAATACTGTCCACCAGCCATTTAACAAGTTCGTAGTGAAACTTCATAGCCACAGCGGCTTTTGGATGGGCGTCGTCAAACACAAACCGGAAAAAGCGTAACTCATCACCGTCTGAACTATCAGGGAGCCTTTCGCATCCGAGGTGCTTGCCCCGGTGAGAACCACACAGCGTACTCTTTGCCAGCGTCCTGGTGCCCCGAATGTGCAACATGAAGTTGGGGCCGCTACGGAGCAAAATGCGTTCGACATGTGAGCCTGTGCAAACACATGGGGCCCTCTTGTGGGTGTGGTTGTGGGTGTGGGTGTGGGGGTGGCTGTAGGGGTGGCTATGGGTCTGTGTCTGCATTTGTTTTTCTCTCTCTCTCTCTCTCTTTCTCTGTTTGTTTTGAGGTATGCTTTCGCGGGGTTGGCTTACACGAAACCCACACGGCAAGGGTCTTCTCAAAGAACCTGACTGCTGGCAGTCTCCTTTGTTGCCTGACACGGCCTTGTTCTTGTTTACTGAAAAACTCAACGATACTATCTTCCAGCTCATTACATTCCAGAAAGCAGCCCGCCCAGTCCTGCTCAATGTCTTCACAGCAGCTTTCAGGAACCTGGCAGCAAATGGCTCATGCCGGGAAGTGCAAGTATCGGAGGTTTGTCCAGCTGAGGGATCCTCGTCTGCTTCCCAAAACACCCTTTCCACCTCTTCTGCCAAATGCGGATGTGAATTCATTCCCAAAGCTTGCTAGAAGGCTCGTCCCTGCCCGCCCCAAGAGCCTCTCCTCCCAAAACCCAACCAAGCAGGAAAACCTGGCACCCTCCCAAGCCCCTTCCCACCTTCTCCGCCGCTTCCAGCAACTGGCACAGCTCCTCCACGGTGCGGGCGCTGCGGATCTGGGGCGCCGTCAGCACGCCTCTCAGCTGCTCTCGCCACGCTGCCGAAATGCCAGTGGCCAGTGCGGGGCGGGAGGCCGTGCTTCCGTGTGCGAACTAATCTTCACTTACTAAACAGTTACATAATTCATGTGCCCTAGAAGGCGTATCCTCCTATCAGCCCTCAGGTTCCAAAGCTAGCGACGGTAAAATACGGTAAATTCCCCCCTGTGGGCAACGAATGGCGATAAACAACGACTGAGCCCCCCTGATGTGTGGGACACATTGGTGCGTCTGCCCCTGTGTTGCATGATGGAACGCGACTGTACCAGAGGAGTGCCTCTGTTTGTCGTTTTGGAATTGTTCACCCAAAAAAAAGGGAACCCAATCGGTGCGGGCGGGAGTGCGTGGGGACAGCCATGATTAAGTGCACAGGATTGTGCATGTGCTTGTGTCTGCATGCTTGAGTGCACGTGCGCTCGAATGTTGTCATGTTCAAGCGTGCCTGCATTGCGAGTTTGCATGAGTGCCGGTTTGCGCGTTTGCGGGCCGCTCTTGCTTACAAGATTTGCAGGTTGACGCGCGTGCGCAATGTGCGTGTGCTTGTTGATGAACGTGGCCACATGTCAAGCCCCATATCCCACCCCTGTTCCCTTCACAGGTCCTGGAAACATTCGATGTAGCTTCGCATCGCCCCATTTCTGCGCCTTCCCAGGGCCCAGACTCTAAGCCTCTTGAGGCGCGGGGCAGCCAAACTTGCTCCTCAGCAGGTTGGCCAGGCGGGCGATCCTCAGGGAGTCCAAGCCCAGGAGGACACCTCGGATCTCTTAGATTGGCCGTGGGTCAACATAGGCTGGTACATGGAACCAGGGACGCTTACAGTCATGCTCTAAGCTGCGTCAGTAAGAAGCTTGCTCACGCACGCAACTTGAACGTAGCCAGAACTGCGCAAGAATGCCACGGCGCTGGACATGCGCAAAGGCTTCAGCAAGGGCTGCACCTCTCCCAAAGCCTGAGGTGACGGTGCAAGTGTCAAATATCGGATTGCTTGAGGAGGTTTGGGTTTGGTACCTGCGGACAAAGAAGGTAGGGCCGCTCGCCCCCACTGGTTTGAAGCAGGTCCCTTCCGGGCAGGTCGTGCGACAATCTGCCAGACTGGCTGCCCCTGAAGTTGGCCCAAGAACAATACAGGCTGATTTCAGGGTTCCTGCTGACCAAGCGTCTCACATTTGACGCGTGACCGTGCATTGAAGTGAGAACCCCATGTGGGTCACCTTGCTCATGCTTGCACTTCCGGCAAGCAACCCTGAGCGCATCAATGAGTCAATGACCAATTTCTGCTTGTCAACTTGCTGGATAGAAGACATGCTGCACCACTGCCAAGACTGCAAATTGAATCTTGCCCAGGAGCTGATACCATTCCAACAAGCTAATGCGCAAGAACGATGCCACAAGCATTGATGCCTACCTACCCCCCCTTCATGATACGCAAGCCTTAAAGTCCCCTTGCAATGCCTGTGGCACTGCATTGGTGCAGTGCTTGTTGCTTGTGCTTGCCTTCAGCTTGTTTTGACTCTCGAAAGATATTGTACCTCCCGGCACATCTCATAGCAAGCGCGGTGCCCAATTTTCCAGATCGCAGGCGACTCCGGTTGCCATGGCCACCGGTCGCAACCGACTTGGCAGATTGGAGTGACGCGGGCCATTCCAAATCATCGACCTCTGGCAGGTGTCTAACAAAGTAACCTAACACCAGGGGCTTGCTGCCGCCCGCAAAGAGCAGCATTTTCAGGCTCGACCGCTTGATGCATTTTGCACCAAGCTCTCTCGAGCTCCGCATGGCAGGCGCGCAAGGCGCTCCCTGAAAGCTGGCAAAGGCCATGCACTAGGAGAGCATCGACCTGCCCCGCAGCCAAGGCACATCCTGGCCAGGGAAGCCAAGCCTCAAGCCAGGGAGGGGAGAACAACATGGGACTAGTTTTTAGCGGGGGTGCCACATGTAGCTTGGACGTCGGAAGTACGGGAGGATTTATGTCCACCAACCAGTTCAATGTGAAAGATAGGCTACGTAGCAAAAGTCCCGCATGGAAAGCTGTGCAGTCCTTGAGGGCGAACTCCTTCGCAGGGCGAACTGGCTCAAAGATGTCCTGCAGGTCCATGCATGGCGCCTCGTTTTCCACGCCCTGGGCAGCTGACACAAGCTGTAGCGTCACCATCGTCTCGTTGAGGCAGGCGTCGGCAGTGCTGAAATTGGCGATCCAATACGTAACTGTACTCCCGCCCAGCGACTCTTTCAGCAGGTCGGTGAACATGGAGTGCCTGTGCGGAACGAGCCTGGAGCTGGTAATCGCGTCAAAGACATCCGAAATCGCTCGGAGGGTCTTGGCTGCCTGCCTGTTGCGCCTCAGCTGCAGAATGGCATGGTCCCCGTCGGAGCGGCGCCTGTCCCCAAACCCCTGGCAGTCGGCGAGGGTCAGGCTGCGCAAACACTCGCGCCCTGTCCCGTCCTGTGTCTCCAATGCCACTGTGATGATGGTGTCCTTCCCTCTCTCCCTCTGCTGCGCCACGCCGATTGTGTCCTTCGGAATGCAGAGACTCAGATCGCTGGTGCACACCAATCAACTGTCTTAGCCAGAATCTAAGTGGGCAACTGCCGACAAAGAGATTATGCATTGTCAGACCGGCCCGTTCCTCCTGGCTTGGGGGGCACCCTGATTGGGGGCCACCTGACGGGAAAAGAAAAGCTCAGCAGGGCAAAGAGAAAAACAGCACGTCCACACGCATGCACGCCCACGCACGCACGCACGCACGCACGCACAAACGAACGTACACCACCCACACGTACATATATATAGAATTTTGTGTGTGTGTCATCTGCATGTTTATGCATACAAACATCCGTATGCATACACAAAGTATATGTGCCTGTAACGCGTTTATAGAAGGATACAAACACGTACAGAATGTCCAGCACAGTCCACAGTCTTCCTGCATCTTGATTGGCGACATGTGGGGAACACAACCACCTCGACCGGTGTTTGCAAACCGGCCACGCCGTGGCTTCTCACCTAGGTCGTGTCTTTTTCCAAACCTTCCAAGCGTCGTGCGCGCCGGCCTTGGAGTTTTTCGCCCCGCTGCCCATCAGGCCGAAGCGGTAGACCCTGTCCAGCTCCTGCAGGCTCTCAACCCGGATCACCGTGGTGTCCGGCACAAAGGGGTTGAGCGTGTGGTGCTGCAACTTCACCTCCTTGCAGGAAGCAAATGGAGTCCTTAGGGGCCTTTGAGCTTTGGAGTCTTTAGGGGCCTTCCCCGTCAAAGAAAATTGGGTTGGCAAAAGGCGCACTCAGGGATCCCCTTTGCAGGGGCGATGTCCTGACCGCTCTCAGACAGCATGTCATAAAGCTTCTCGTCGCGGATCTCTAGAAAAGAAAGGCTCACCGTCCAGTGGGGCACGCTCCTTGGCAAGCAGAATGCTCAAGCGAAGTCAGGCACGGCTTAATTTTGGCCCTACTCTTATCCCAATTAATGTCAGCAGACGATTAGTAAACCCCCCCCCCCCCCCGATTAAAGGTTTCCCCTTTTCCCCCCCAAGTTCCAACCAACACTAAAGTAAAGGGCCAACAAGATTTCCCAAAAACACCCTACCCAATAATTTGTGAGCCCTCCCCAAAACCCCCCCCTGATTAAAGGTATCCCTCTGCAGCCCCCAAGCCAACAAAACCTGCCGGAAAGGTGCTTTCCTTCTTGCTTAGTATTTGCTGAGTCTGTGCTTAAACCCACCAATACTAAGTCACTATTGAACAACTCAAGTTTTCCCAAAAGATGTGCTTCCCCCGAAATGCATTTTTCCTTATTAAAATTTGTTTAAAATGACAAGGTTTTAAAGCTCACAAAGGGGACCCCCCTTGGAGGCCAGTCCCCCCTCATTAACAAAACCCCCCCGCGATTAATCAGGGGTCTTTTGGGCTCAAAACCCACAAAATATGCTGTTGCCTTTTAAAGTCCTACTGCCCCGAAGGGACCAGAAGTAAGAGGACGAGGACCGCAGAGGCTCCAGACTAATCAGGGGGGTCCTCCCAAAAATCTCATTTTTTGGGACTTGTCCAAACCTTGTCAACCTTGAAGGGGGGGGGAGGGGGGTTTACTAATCAGTTGGCACCATTAATCCCCCAAAAGCTCAAATGAAGAAACGCCGACATGACCTGATTTCACGGCAGCTCAGTTATCTTCAAGAGACTCCACAGACTCACTGGAGGGATGCAGTCGCTGACGAAACACGTGCGGGAAAAACGTCACTCTGAAAGCATGCAACAAGGAAACCCATACGAAGGCTGGGTGAGACAACAAATTGGGATTTCGCGCAAACCATGGCACAAATTACTTGGAAGATACGGGGCCAAATCCTATCCCAAGGCCTGCCAGCCCGCAGCAACGAACCCAAACGAAATCCCAGAACTGAACCCCTTCGACTCTGCCAAATGCAAAGTACGAATTATTGAGGACAAAAAATGAACCCCACGCGCGCCAAGCCTCCAGCCTGCCGCAAGTGCGTCCGTGTCTTTCTACGAACTTTAGAAATGTGTTTGTCACCTTCGAAGCCTGGCGTTCCTCTCCCCGTAAGATGGCATATTCAATCCCGACATCAGGCACCGCAGCGCCTGGAAGATCCCTTGGTTTGATGGGACGGCTCAAGCCAAAGAGAAAGGACAAGCCCTGTTGCAGAGGCAAGCACAGGATAGCGCAGGCTGTCCCATGTTGTGCTTGACACCTTTTCCCGGGGGGGAGGGGTGTCCCTTGTGCTTCTCCCATGCATCGTATGCTTTGACTAGCAGGTCTGAAGGTTCCAAATGGGAGGCCCAGGGTACAGGTCTGTTGGCCAGGGATCACAGCAAAGAGAAGTTGGCCAACCTGTTTGGCCGTTGTCCGGGCGTGGAGACCTCCGTCCATTTGTTTCGCACGTCCCTCATGTTCCCAACAAACCAAAACATGGGCGTCGCCTCTCAGGTATGGAGCGACTTGGTCAAACTTGCGGTGGTGCCCAAGCAACGGAGCAGAGACCGCTAGGCTCGTAAGCGCCAGTCGGCAAAGCACCCAGAGTACAGCGTCCGCTGGCAGAGACACAGTACAGCAACAACAACCACGCCGACTGCAAATCCAACAAGGGCTGGTCAGGGAGCGAGGAACGGCTCACCTGCCCTTGGACCTCAAATTGCAAGCTACCCTGTTCGCTGACGCAACTGAATCCAAGCCAACCCCCGACTCCAAGGCCCAACTCTTTTTCGAGGCTCCGCACCGCCTCGAAGAGGCGCCGGAAGCATCGGGGCGCCAAGCCCTCGGAATCGAAGCCCACCGGGCCGAACATCGTGTGGGACTTGCCGCTGCCAGACTGCCCCGCTGCTATGATGGTGCCTCACCCAACCGGCATGCGAAATGAGAGACGGACCCACTGGCAACGACGCCAACACCGGCCTCGAAAAACAGCATTGGTTGGGGAACGAAAGGAAAGAATTGCCCTTGCAGAAATTCGCCACTGCGCAGAAACTTGCTGCAGAGCCAGAAGAAAGAAAGCTGGAACACCGAAAGAAAGCTAGAAGCCAAAGGTCGAAAACCAAGGCTAAAACAATCACTAGACAAGTTCCCCCTGCCTGACAGACCCTTTCTCGATTGCCTGTCAAAACGCATGTTCGAACCCCGCAGTCCTCCAACAAAAAGGGGGGGACTCCCAATTTAAACCGAATTGGCCAATAGGAACCACATGATTGGAAGCAAACAACCTAAAATGATTGCCCGCTTAGCGCACAAACCCCCCGCTAACGCTGGTTTCTTGTACCCCAGCACAAACGGAGGGACCTATGATTCGGCAGTCGCCTGCCATGCTTGTCGGTAAGTTTGCCCAGTTCAAGGTTTATAGCCTCAACGCTACACAACTGCCTACATGTGAGTTTCTGGTGTCTTGTTCGTCCACTGTCTACGGCCTTGGGTCAAAAGTATTGGGGCACGGCCAGGAGAATGCGCATAACTTATGCCGCATAACCATTTGCCATGCACAAACGCGGTTGCATCTGATTTTGATTTACCTTTGGCTCAAAGAGGACCCGCAAATGGGCAAACCTTTCCTTAAAACATCACACTCAGCGAGCGGCAGCTGTAACCTTCCAAGAAGGTGTCCATGACTTCTTTGCCCACGCCGTCAAAGACCTGCTGCTGTGAGCAGGTTTCGTCATAGACCGCATCAAAGGTGAAAGTCTCCTTGTACTGTATCCCTGGACGCCCCTCCACCACGACCTGCTTCTTCTCGGGGTCCACAACTGCAGCCTTCCTGCAGCTGTCCTTCTCCGACCAGTTCCAGGGGCGGCAGCGCGCCACTCCCCTCATGCGATTCCCCAGGAACTTCACGTCTGGCATGCAAGCGAGTTGAAGAACAGAGCCATCCACCTTGGTCACCCCAAAAGCCCTGGGTGAACTTTGAGACAGGATGACCCTTCCATCCAGCCAGCCAAGACTTTAAGACCAAGCAGCAGCTGAGCAAACAAACCCACACACACACACACACGCACACCTGCACCTAGGCCCTGGCAATGCCAGCGTCCAGGGCCGTCTCTGTATCCTCCAGCAGCCGAAGTCCCAGCAGCAGCTGTTGCTGCGGCACCTCCGGGCCGCCAGCGCGCCACACCTGCGAGCCACGCTAATCCCAGGCCCCAGGCGTCACAAACCGCAGTGGGACCAGGTTGCCGCCACTCGGCTCAAACCGAGTTTTCATGGCTAGCGTGATTGCCAATGATTGCCATGGCTGCCTGCTTCAACCTGATGGCATGTTTCCAAACCCGACGTCTTGTATGAACCCTCGCGGCTTGGATGTGCAGGTCAGTGGATTGAGCTGAGTCGTGCTGGCGAAGGGCGAGGTCATCCTATCCTGCTTGACATGCTCCAGGGATCAACCGTGCCAACACCTTTTTCAGTTGCACCTGTGCATGTTTGGCTGTGGAATGAACTGGGGACACACTCAAAGTAGGTGCCGGGCACAAGCCCATGCATTTCAGACGTTTCCCAAGTGGGACATGGAAAAGTCATCCCCGTTCGATCTTGCGCCTGTTGCTTGATCTCTCGCACCCTGCACAGCTCAGAGATGGAGAGCTCCGTGGCAGTACTAGCCATGGACTGCACCGTGACCTGTGCAATAGGGGAGCCAAGATCCTGGGTCCTTCCTGTCAAGGCCCCCAAGACCCTTATCCCTGCAAAGAGGCCACGCCACAGGCCGCCCCGGGGTTCTCTTGTACCATCGGCGCCAACCAAAAAAAAAAAATGGGCACCCTGCGAGCTCAAACCCAATAAAATTGCCCCCGTCTGAGCGGCGGAGATCTCGCCCATTGGCGGTGCCGGATCAGCGTCCATGGCTTCATGGGCAGGGTCGATCTGAAGATTGCTGAGCCAACGCTGCGCGCATGCCGCAACACCAAGAGAGGCCACATGCCACATGCCAGCGCACGCAACTTTCAGAACATCTCAGGGAAAGCGCGCTGGACGTGGCATCCAGATTATGTAGAACTAAAGAATAGTATGCCAATATATTCAAAGCAATTCTGAGTGCAAGAAGTCAGAAGGTAACTTGCTGCTGCGAATGTCAATTTGGATCTTGAGGAATTACCTATTCCCAGTCTGCCTGCGCCCGCTACTTTGCTCCAGAGGCCCGCACACCTGGACCTGGGAAATGCCAACACCACGCCGGAGTCTTGGAAAATCAAATGGACCTGCCCTGCGGACCTTCACGGTGTTGCAACATCCGACTTCAGAGTCGTTCTTGTTTCTGCCAAGTTGCAGTACATAGCAGTTGAGCGGTGGGATTCAGGTCGATGTCCTCCTGAGGGGATGGAAGTGGCTAGGCGAAAGAAAAGCAAGCATGCTGCGCAGCCGTCACCAGCCCGAGACACACTGCCTCAGCTAGAAACAATCCAGCTGCAAATTAAATGGAGCCCCGGGGTGGCCCGTATTTGGTCGAACGAGCCCGCCTGACTTTTCGGGAAGTTCCAACACCCTGACGCCCAGCCTGGCAAAGCTGTTCCTGCACGCCTCGACAGAGCTGGCCACTGCAGATCTTTGAACTGATTTGCAATTCCAAGGCCACGAGAGACCCTTTCGCTTACCGAACTTACGCAGAAGTTTCACCGGGAGCCCAATAGCCGAAGAGATTAGAAAAGATGCGCAATCACTGCCCAAAATCATCGACGAGCACCCAGCACATCCAACCATCGGCACCAGAACCCATGGCTGCGAACCTGTCGTCTCCTGCACTAGGTGTACCGATGTACCTGCATTCAACTCCCGACGCTACAATTTTCAATTGGGAACGCCGGCTGGTGCACACACATCCCCATTGAAATACTCACCATAGCGCCAAACTCGGACCCACGATTCAATACATGCGGCACCTTTGTGCTTCCATCCGGCCCCCAACAGCCCCCAGCGAGCCGCGCTGGCCTTCATCTGGGAGCTCGTGGATCTCCTGCGCATTCAGCCACTGCCAGGCAGCCAAGGCTGAATATGACTTGCACCGCCGTACTATGGCAGCCCAAGTACCCGTTGAATACCCCTCTTGTGAGCTGTGACTGAAACAAGAAACAGGCCACGAATCGGCGGGCTGGAGAACATGGTTGAACAAAGCTTGGCTACCAGCGTCCTTCAAGTGGCGCCTCTCGACTGCTATTCCGGATGTCACTCAGCCCTCACCCCGGGGCCCAGCAATCAGAAGGAGCAAAACGGCCAGTTCAGAAACCCAGGCTGGCGTCGATTTGCATAGCCTCGCGTCCACTGTCTTGCCCGCCTCTCCAGTGTGGTGGTACCACCACCAATGCTCCAGCTTCTGTATCTCCGCCGGGTCGGCTGGCCTCAGAAAGCTTCCGTGATGCGATTCCACCAACCGGTGAGCATTTTCAAAGCATTCGCTTGGACGTTTGTCATAAGGAAGCTCACGACCATGGCTCTGCTTTGTAAACAAGTGCCACTTTGTTCCAGGGAGTCACGCCGCCCAAATCCCGAGTCACAGACGACCAGTGCAACTCAACCCTTTGGAGCCACTCCAGGCCGAGTTGCTGCGGCAGGATCTGCATGCGATCCTCGGCATGTTTGACCCCTAGATCTCATGGGTCCCGCCCCAGGAAAACCACTAGGGCAAGGAAAACCCACCTTATCCCAGTGGAAAATAAAAACGATACGTCTAGAGGAAAGGGGGGGGGTAAAACTGGGCAAAGTGCTCTCAGAAAAGCACCGCTGCTGCAGTCGGCATTCGAATGACAAAACCCCATGGCGAGATCTGCCGAGGGGCCAAATATTGGTCCGCCTTCCGCCGCGCCCGCTTGGGCTGGGGCTCCAGCACCTCTCCTGGCTGCAGCTCGAGGCCGTCTGCACGCCCTGAAACTCCCATCGCTGGCCCCAAAAGCCAAAAGGAAGGTACCTGAGATTGGAGGAAGCCTGGCCCAATGGCGGCCGCACCGCCCATACAGTCTGCTTGCCTCTCAAACTGGCAATCGGGAGTTTGGCGGCTAACTCAGAAGGCGTCTGCAACGCCCAACTCCGTTCTATTTGATTGGTGCAGCTAGGTGGCCGGCCCCCATCGCACGAACTGGGGGATGCCTTGGACCCGCCCCGCCGCGTTAACAGCAATCTGGCAGCCCGGTCCTTCATCCACGCCTTCCAGGAATGCTGCCGCCTGGTCCCTGCTCGAGCATGCCAAGGTCGCAGCGCAGGAGCCGCAAAGCACCTCCGGCGACCAAGACCCGACTAAAAACTGCCTGACACATCTGTCAAGCCTGACGTAAGGCTGATAGAACTCACCCAAACCTGTCAAACTCCCAAGCCCTGGTGCAACATAACACTTTGGCGGGCGATTGGGATCAACCCCTTGCTCTGGCCGCCCCTTCCAAGGGAGCAATTTCCAAACCTCGGCCCAGATCAACCAAATCCGGCCCATTTCTCGTAAAATGTCATGAAGTTTCAACTTTGGTTTCCACCCCTTCAACACCATGCCTTGTGCCCCAGCCACAGCTGCGGAACTTCGCCACAGTCGCAACGCTTCTCCTCCGGCTCTGTGGGCGTCCTGGCGGCACGACCCAGCTTCCCCATTTAAGGGAAGGAAAAAGAAAACAATCGGCATTTGGCAGATCACTGATTTATGAAGCTTGTCTGGCAGATTCAGGAAGGGGATGCTGATGAAGCTTGTCTGGCACATGCGGGAACGGGAGGTGTCTGTCCTTTGCGTGCCTGTTCTGGTGCGAGAACAAAACATGAGGGAACAAACAAGATCAATGCCGTGAAGTAATGCTACTCGTACCGCTGATGCTCCTTCTCTCATAGGAGGTCCACTCTTGAGTTGAGGGACGTGTGCACAAGCAGCGGAGGGCAGCTAGCAACTGCGACGCGTGGCTTCCTCGGGCAAAGGGACGCCAAACCACTCACTCAAGCACTTGCCGGAGTGCGAACTCTGTGCTTCACGGCATCTCCAAGATTCAAGGCCTCCCAGATTGATAAGTAAAAGCCTTCAGCTACTGCACTGATACGGCAGGCAAGGATTGCGCATGCGCACCGAGCCACGCCAGGTCTCCCAGTGCATCCACCCACGGCAGTCCACTTGGAGCTGGTGACCAATGCCTCATATCTTGAAACCGCCCAGGTGCCAAAGATTTCCCAGCCCCAGCCCGCCCTTGAAACTCCAACGATTCTCAGGAGCATGCTGGGCATAGTTCAGATTCCGCTCGAGGCTACGCACGCAAACCTATCTGCAGCCCTGCGGCCCAGGAGGAAAACCACCGGCCAGGCCAGCAGCCGCCCTCTGCCAGCAGCTGCCGCTAAGCCACCCCTGGGCCACAAATATGCACGCGCCAAGACACAAGAGTTGCCTTGGTGGCCTGCAAGAGGTAAAATCTCAAACAACAACAACGGAGTTCAACCAGACACGGCAATGAGGTCTCAACGTCACCCATCCTAAATGGCCCGCCGCCACGGCCGGCGCAACACCTTCCCAGACAAGCGTCGCTGTCGCTGCACCCAGGATGCCCCCAAAGATGATGCCCGCAAACGGCAGATGCCGAAGGAGCGCCGTGCTGATGAAGAAGCCAAACTTCCAGAGAGGCAGCACATCGACAATTCCTGGACCGTGCAACGATGTGGATTGAAACTATGAGACAGAAATGAAGAAATGGAAGCAGATCTTGACATCTCGCCCTCGGAACAGGCCACAATCCCAGGTGCGTGGCTTTTGCAAGCCAAAGCCTCACGTCGTAATTTGTCAGCATCCCTCCCAACCAACGAAACCTGAAAATCCATAGTGAGCATGTGAGCATGTGGAGTTGCAAGATGGGCCCGTTCTGTCATGGGAGAGTGATTGTCCCATGCAAACTTGAGGCTCCACATGTTCAACATGTCCCCTCAGCTTCCTTTTTCAGACCACAAGCAGTCGCTGGAGGCCCACGAAGCCAAGGCTCTGAAGATCCGGAGCCCCCAGGCCACGTCCCGCTGCCGCGCGTCATCTGCCAGCGTCAGCGCTAGCCAGCTGTAGATGAGGCAGGCGGAGGAGACGAGGTAGCGCCCAACCAGGGCCTCAAAGGGAGAACACCCAGCGCACGGTGTCCACTGCTCCGCCCCAAGCAGGCAAAACATGCCATGCGCTCGTTCTGAACACGATAAGCTGGAGTCAGCCCCACATCCTAAACGTCATCCGGAAGGAATCAGAAAATCAAGTCCAAGGTCTAAATTCACTATAAACCGCAAAACCCGGTGCCGTCCTCACTCTAAGTGCGGCGGGGTGAACCTGCCTTGCCTTTGAAGGGCACTCGTTCTCGACACCTCGGGCCTTGTTGAAGCTCGTCAGCAGCCACACGGCCGTGACGCCCAGCCGCGGCCAAAGGCCCGGCAGCAGCCGCAGCGCGCCCAGCCTCAACTGGCTGGCGGCGTGCGGCTCCACCAGCCCACATGAACGCCCCGGAGTTTTGAATTTCAAGGTTGAAGTCCACTAGGAAAATGAGTGCAAAAAACTCCAAAAGTGCCCAGCTCTAAAGGAAAAGCACGGAGGACATGTGAAATCATCCTGATCCGTGGGCGTTGACAATTCGACACATTCTGGGGAGGCCGGGTGTTTGCAGCTCGGACTGCTCCGGAACATCCACGCTGGCATCGTTCTATTATTCTAGTGTCTTTTGCCACAGATCGTGTTTGAAGAGCCTGGGTGTTTTCAAAGACATGGCTGAAAGCTGTGTCCTTGCCCGGTCCCTCAATTTGGGCCCGCACCAGGCAATGGTGCCCCCGAGCTGGCTGGCAAGCTGACCTGTGAGCGCTGGCTTCCATGCTCCGGAGATTTTTGTTTGGGCTACCAGTGTTGGGATTTTTTCCCGTTTTGTGTTGGGTTTTTTTCCTGGATTTTCTGTCTTGGAACTGGCAGGTGCGATCTCCTTTGGTTCTTCTGTGGTTTGACTCGTTTTGCACCAGCGCTGTCAACATCCCCGGCATCGTTTTAACTCGGCAGCATCCTTTTCAACATCCTCAGCATCACGAGTTGGATTTGTTAGGCTGGGTTTAGGGTGGGTTTAGGTTGGCTAGGGTTGGTTCATTCACCCTTCCGTCTGGAACAAGTAATGTTTCAAATGGCCAAAACGTATCCTTCAACTGGGTGCTACATATCATAGGGCCTGAGATACCCATCCCCTTGGTGGTGTTTAAGGCAAGTTCGGGGGTGGCTGCGCTTAGGTACTGGATGGTTTAGTGCTGGTTTGTGGTGGGCTTCTTGGGGGTTGGTTCAGGGGTTTAGGGCTGGTTTAGGGTGAGTTTAGAGTTGGTTTAGGCTGTGGTTGTGTTTAGGTGTGATGGTTTAGTGTTGGTTTGGTTTGTTTGGGGGGGGTAGGGGGCGGTTGGTGTCGCGTTTGCTTTGGGCTTGTTAAGGGTTTAGTTTGGGTTTAGTGCTGGTGTGCGGGGGGTTAGGGATTGGTTTTGGGGTTGCTTTAGGGAGCTATAGGGTTTGCTTAGTGGGGGTGGTTTGAGGTTTGAGGTTTGAGGTGGGCGTATTAGCAATGGCTTTGTGCTGGTTTAGTGCGCATCGCACAAATACAAACCCACTCTAAACCAGCATCAATACAGAATAATACAAACTTAGTGCAGACTTAGGGTTGGTTTGGGTGGGGTTCGGGTGGGTTTCGGGATTGGTGTTTGGGGTTTAGGGTTGGTTTAGGGTAGGTCTAGAGTTGAGGGATAGTCTCTTGCTGGTTTAGAGTGGGTTTGTTTAGGGTTTTCTTTAGGGAGTTTTGCTGGTTTAAGGTTTTCTTTAGGGTTTCTTTAGGGTTGGCTTTTAAGGTTGGTTCTAGTTTTAGTGGTGGTTTGGGGTGGGTTTCGTGGTGGTTTAGGATTGGTTTAGGGTTTTTTGGGCAAACACGTGAGTTTAGGACCGTGGGCGTTGGATTCATTGGGGTTCGTTGCCTACGAAGAAGCGGGGGGGGTGGGGGGGGCTGCGCCCCCCCCATCTACAGAAACATGGGAGGGAAGAAGCCACCAGACCAAAATCCAAAAAGCCAAAAGGCGGTGATGCTGGGGTGTTACTGGTGCTGCTCGGGATGCGGAAAGTCAAAGCCACAAAGGCCACAAAGTAAGCCAAAAAGCCAAAAGCCAAAAAGCCAAAAAGCCAAGAAACCAAAAAGCCAAGAAACCAAAAAGCCACGAGCCAAAAGTCAAAAAGCTCAGACTGAAAGAAGACAAAGGCCAAAAGCCAAGAAGCTAAGAAGCTAGATAAGGCAAAATCCAGGAACAAATCCTAAAGAAAAACGGGAAAACTCCCAAAATAAATAGCCCTCCATAGAAAAAACAAAAACAAAAACATCGCGGCCCCGCTGGGGCCGGCCAAAATAGGCATGGGTTGCCTGAAGAACAGGGAACCATTTGAGTGGCAGCCGCAGCTGCATTACGCCTGAACGACCTGCTTCAAACTGAATGCCACTCGCTCCACACGGTAGCCAAGTTGCTCTGGGGGCATGCACACACCCAGGTGGTCCCAACGGCCGCCAGCGTCCACAAAGCCTGCCCATCAAGGCCGGGTCACTTGGGAACTAGCCTGTGCCCATCTCTGGCCTGCATACCGCCTCATCACAGCTGGTCTAAATGGAGCGCAGATCATGATCATGTGTGCACATACACTGTGTCACCTCAAGGTGCATCTGTACCCCACCATTGAGTCAACTGGTATGGGTTTAGGGCAGGCTATGCTTCTCTGCGGTATCGATTCAAGCGGTGACAACCCGACCACCCGACAAAGGCTTCCCGGCCTGGCTCCGAGCGTGCTCCCACAGACGCGACCGAAGCTCAGGCTTTCCAGCTCCGGGCTCCAGCGGCCAGGAGGCCTCCGGCGGCCGAGCCAAGTGCCGCAGCTGCGCCAAGTCCACCTTGCCTCCGCCAGAAGGTAACTGGAAACACGCAGGCTCCGCCCGAGAAGGAGATCTCTCTCTGGGAATGATTGGGACTGATTGGGCTCAAAGGGCTGGCTTGTTGCGAGTCGGGTTCGTGCGGCAAGGATCCCGCTCACGACACCAGAACCTGTTGCTGCTTGCCAAGTGGCGCGTCACTGGGTGGCGTGGTAGCTCGGGGATCACCCATACCTGAGCCAGCCCGCTTCTTGCCAGCTTGCTCTCGTGCTGCCTAAAAGCGCTGGACTGATTCCAAGTGGTACTGAAGGCGCTCGTGCAAAACTAGCCACTTGTTGCGCTTTGGGGCATCTTCCACGCTGACCCGTGTGGCGCCGGCGCAGGATAGACAGACACGCAGACACACACACACACACACACACACACACACACACACACAGACACAGACACAGACACAGACACACACACACAGAGAGACAGAGAGACAGAGAGACAGAGAGACACAGAGAGACACAGAGAGAGACACAGAGACACAGACAGACACAGAGACAGAGAGACAGAGAGACAGAGAGACAGAGAGACAGAGAGACAGAGAGACACAGAGACACAGAGACACAGAGACACAGAGACACAGAGACACAGAGACACAAAGACACAGAGACACAGAGACACAGAGACACAGAGACACAGAGACACAGAGACACAGAGACACAGAGACACAGAGACACAGAGACACAGAGACACAGAGACACAGAGACACAGAGACACAGAGACACAGAGACACAGAGACACAGAGTTACGCACACACACACACACCTTCAGGGCCTTCCTCACAGGCACCTGGACTCGGACATTCTGAGCTCTGATTGCTTGTCTGGGCAGGTCACAAAAACAAACAGCAGCGACGATGCCCCTAACACATGCAAATCATACAACTCCGCTTGACAAGGCGAAACTGCAAGTCTGAGCGTCCAAGCGCCAGACTGCACTGCTATTCCAATTCAAGCGAACAAAGGGACCAGCGCGGAATCTGTAATCCTCCTGCCAAGGTGCCTGCACCTTGGGCGGGAGGCCGCTCCGCACGGCGTCCAGCGTGTTGGTGACACCATCCGGCGCCAGGGAAGCAAACAAGTGGAACTGCTCAGTGGAGCTATCCTTGGTCTCCCCACCTGCCCAAAATTGCTGGCCTTCCGTTTACGCAAGGATGCCACGCGTTGTGCACTGAGCACATCCCTGCATCCAAACCCGTGCAACACCAGCACGCATTTTATGCTCAGAAGCTGTGCGGCCTGGGCATCCATCAGCATCGCCTGCGTCTTTGAAGGAGCGTGCGCTCTCTCCCCCCGTGCTGCATCCATTGGCCCCCCTTTCTTATCATCAGCATCAGAGGAGTCAAAACACGGGCGCAAACCAGCCCGGGCCTCCAACTTGCCACCTGGCCACGCATCGCATGATCGCAATCGAGACTTCAGACAAGTCTCGGCAATGATTTTGACCGCAAGCACCCCGGGGACTCGGCCAACGGCATCCTCCACTTCTGTCATATCCACCCACTTGCCAGCCGACTTCGCCATCATGTCAGCACGGCCCTTGAAGACAATGCCTGGCATCCCAATGCCCTCGTGTCAACTCGGCGAAGCGCGATGGCTCAGGGTGTCATAGGAGGCCCACACATGTCTTAACCTCCTGCCCTACAAGCGTCCGACATCACCACTCCAAGTTCGATCCATCCTTCCAAACACTTGCCCCCCCCAGCAAATAAATTAACATTGCAAGAGTCCTTTCAAAGAAAAAATAACAAGAGCAAGCTTCCATCTGACCTCGAGCGTGCCACCTCAAGCGCCGTGCCTCCGCCGACGCGCCGCACCAAGTCACTGGTGCAGAAGTACCGCTGCCCGTTGATCGTGCGGAAAGCGTCCTGAAAACTCCGCCCGAGCGACCGGCCAATCCGAAGCTTTACCTCAGCAGCTGCACCTAAAATTGTATATGTTCAGATTCTCCTCATTCACTGAGAAACTGGCCCAAATCTGGCTTGCGCAAAATCGCATGCACGACATGGAGAAGCTAGAGTCACATGTGTGGACCACTAGTGGAAAATGTCTGACTTAGCCAAAGTTGAAATACATTCAACCTCAGCCACATAAACACAAGCAACCAACATGCAATTGTGAACAAACTGAAGAGCAAAGGCATGCAGCTTGAGCACAAGATTGGAACGCAACCAATGTCAGCCGCATCTTGCAACAACCACCGGGGCTTCAATCAGTGGATGACTACAATATTCTATGTACAGCTTGTTTTACGTTTGGCTTCGCAAAGCGCTGAAGTCGCGAACAAGGCAGGGACCGAATGGAGGCGCACTGCGTTAAGCGCCAATAATCTGGTTGGTACTGATGACCCATCAAACCCCTTTGGTTACATTTTGTATGCCTTTTGGGTGCAGTGACCGCCCTTCCCCTTCAAACCATTGTAAAGCTGTGCCTCAAGTTACATTTCCTGCGGGAAGGCAAACACGCCCCCGAATGGCTTGCACCGTGCACCTGCTCCCCGAACGGTACCGGCGATCCCGCCAAGCTCTCCCCCTTGGCCTCTCTCAACTCTCAACCCTGTGCCTCACCGCCCGTGTACCCGGCCATGACCATAGGCCCAGCGATGCACAGCAAACCCAGTTCGCCCTCGGCCGCATCTTGACCTGAGGGACTCAAGGACTCCAAGTGAGGCTTCCCACCTACGTGACCCTCCCGAGGGTCTTCGCGCTGTCGCCTAACATTTTCCACCGACAGCTGGCTCGCTGGTTCTTTGTCGCCGGAATCCGGCAGCCCTTCGTGCTGCCAAGGCCAGGGGCTCGTAATCACCGGCCTGCATCTGTGAGCACCAGCAGCTGTGCCGCTTGCACAGGTCGCAGCAGGCCATCTGCCAATGGGTCCGCCCAGCAGCAGAGCCTTGCAGGGCTCAACTACTCCGTCCGCGGGATGTGTCAAAACAGGAACCGCTCCCAGTGGCTGGTGTCATAGCTGTTTGTTTGAACAAGAGACGTTCCAAATGGGGTCCATCTGCCATATTTGAGATGCTAGCACTTTGAGATTAAGAATGGCTCCTCCGTCTGCTTTGAACAACAACCAAAGTTCAAATCACCGACCAGAAACAAAACGCCCAATTGAGAAAAGGCTAAGGCTCGTTGGATTTTGCTGCGAAACACAAGCTGGCAGCCCCATCGCCACCGAACGTCCTTTCAACAACCTTGGGTTATGCTTTGGCAGGCCAATGGTGGCGCCTGCGTCCCCGGAAGCAAATCAAAGCAATGGTGGCCTTCCGTCAAGGAACCTGAGCCGTGCCAGCCCAAAAACAATGCAATTCTCTCCTCCCTTGAATTGTATTGCCCCATCACCTGGAAGGAGTGTACATTGCAACAAGCCCACTGTAGGAGCACACCCCTGAACCATACATCTGGGAGTGGGGGGAGTTCAGCACGCTCTTTGATGAGTCATGAGTCATAGGGAAGTACGGGAGCAGGGGAATCAAGCCAGGCTGCTAACCTTCAACTCCCTGGTTGCCGTTTGTCGTTCACATTGGAGTGGCTAGTTTACTCAGGCAAGCTATTGCATTCGTGACTGTGTTTGCTCACCTTCAATCTTCCCCCTGAAGCACATCTTTCCCCCAACCCCCTGTCACACAACCAATCTTAGACCCTTGGTGGCTCTCAGAGTAGGGCTGCCCAAATGGCTGGCAAGGGACGGGACAAATGACCACTCAGATCACCTCCCAGCAACGCCCCTGACCCTTCGCACCACCCCCTTCCCCGCCAGTACTCGGTGGAGATCAACAGCTCACGCAGCAAAGCGCCGTGGCCCCGCCACCTGCCACAGACGCAATGACCGCAACCAACATAGATGAGCTCCCACAAGCAAGCCTTCCCAAATACTCTGACAAACAAGGGGGGCCCCCTGAGAAACAAATGGATCGACAGAATATGCAACATCACTCCCTACAAGCCAGAGTTCTTTTGCGACAACGACGTGGTGTTATGCCTGAGTGCCCCGAGGCTTCTCTGGAACCAGCACATACTTATGCAGCATAGTTCACAAGAAGCACGCGTTTCTCTAAAATCACGTGCCAACAAAAACGGCAGGCTCAAGGCCTGCCACTGCTTACTTCTGAGACGGAGCGCGAACATCACCGTTCGCAAATGTCGCTTTTGAGCCCTTCTCCACTTGCAAATCGGGTAACCCGCCCTTCGCCCCCAGAATGAATCCAGTACCCAGGGCGCCTGAGCCCTCTGGCCCCGCCTCTGCGCCAGCTGGTGAGGCAGCCGCTCCTCAACATGCACCCGTGGGCTCAGTGCCGCATCCCCCCCCCCCCCCGCCCCCCCAATTTTCAAGATTCTGCTGGGGAAAGGGCACCGTCACTCCCCCTCTCCAGGTACCAAACACGGGTCCATGCCACAGAACCGCCACGCTTACACTTAGAATTTACAATGGTGGCCTGTCCACACCAAGCAGCGCCCCAGGTGAAAATCATCTCCACCTCCGGGAAGTCCTGCCACCGGCAAGAGACGGGAAGGATCCCTGGCTGCACTGCTTCTTTTTCGTCAGCGGCCAACTGAATCAATGGGCGTGGTGTTTTAAAGAAACAGCTGTTGCATGCTGAGGCACAAGCCCTACCTCGACAAAAGTCAAACAAAAGCCTCTGCAATGACGAGCATTCGCTGATTTTAACAGCCTCGGGCCGCATTCAGCAAGACAGGGAGGAGATGAACAAACGTCTCGCACACGGCCCGCTCCTGTGGTCGTGGCGCTAAAAGATCGAGGTGCTCCGGCACCACGCCCAGAACATTGACTTTCTCCTGCCCAGGACGTGCGTTTGACCGGAAAATGCCACTGTGATCATGCGGGACAAAACCATCAAGTTACTTTGGAATGCGAGTTCACTCCAGCCAGGGCCGCCTCTGCAACACAGCGCTGCAGCTTGGCAATGTCCGCGATTTCGGTGAGGACCTGGAGGCGACACACGGCGCTGCAGACTCACACCTTTGGGGGTAGTTCCTTCTCGTTGCTTTCCAGCCAGAACGGGCACCGTGTTTTTGTTGTTGTTGTTTTTTTTTTTTTTGTTTTTTTTTCTTCCGAAGACATCCCTGTCATCACTCATCGCTTCTTTTCCACGCTGAGGTTCGCACCGCCGTGCCGCCGTAGGCCAAGGCGATGCTGAGCTGCCCTGAGCACCCGCAAGGCCAGTAACAATCAGGCGCCTTGACCCCTTGGGATTTTTTGGCCGATGTTGCTTGTCTGCGGCAGTGTTCTGCACACAACAGGGGTATGTCAGGGTGCACCTGCTTGCCAGTGTGTGTGTGTGTGTATCCGGCTGAACGATGCCATGCGCAGGCTGGGACATCCTCACACATCTCATGGTTGCATTTCCACAGCGAAAGGCACGCGTGAACAACAATGCAGCGCAGTTTCGTAACTTGCTGGTGACCTGGTGGCGTGAACCAACAGTCGCGTAACACGCTACTCAGCGCTTCAAACATGAGAACGGCGCTTGCTTCACCATGTGTCATCGTCAACCCATGGCCGGGCCGCCCAGGGCGGAGGCGGCCCAGTAGACACTGGTGTGCGCCAGCACCACCGCCGTGTGCCTGGGGGCCCAGATCTCCTCGGCGAGCGGGCGCTAAAACGAGCCAAGTGGGGCTCAGGTGCGAAGGGCCTGCTCAGGCAATGTGACCTGAACCCGCCCGCTGTGCCGTCCAGGCTCCCAATAGGACTTTCGCTCGTGGATGAACATCCGGTGCGTCACCGCAACCACTTTTGTGCGGAAGGTGCCGCCCGTGAACATGTAGCACAGCACCCCCGGATCCGTTGGATGTTGTTGCCCTTGGCTGGCCAGCCGGGGTGAGGCAGCAGGGGGCAAAGATCCCAAAACTGGGCCTTGGCTGTTTTGCACTCCAACCGGAGTTGGTTGATGCCCGGTCCCATTGCAGCAGCTTTTGGGAGCCAAAAGCGATTCACCATTGCCCACTTGATTTGCACCCCTATCCTTCTTCTAGAATAAGATCATGAAACTGTAGAGAGGCTGTGTCTCTTCCTTTTGAGCAGCGGTGACTCTGCGCTAGCGCTACGCTAACTTCCCTAGTGATTTGGAGCTCGCAGCCCAGACGCCCAGGCCATTCAAGCTTGCTGCCTCTGCTGCCTGAGGGGAAGAAACCACACTGAGAAGGGTCATGCCAGCGCCAGTTGCTTTGCGCTTCAAGGAAAAGGTCGCAAAAAGCAAGGGGGCCACCGGGCAATCCTGACGTTTGTTCTGGATGCTCCGCCCGTGTTCTGCCAACATGCAGCGAAATGACCACCTGAGGACCTGTCATAAGCCGTCACGCATGACATCTACCGTTTTCAAGCACGCACCCACCAGCGTATGGCCTATGCAGCTAGGCTCATGGCTAGAGCTGCTGGGAGGACAGCGTCCGGGCCATCGCCAATCACCAGCCACGGCTGCAAAGTCTTGATGGCGAAGTCGTTTCTGGGGCAGCCGTCGCCGGGGGGAAAGAGTTGTTTGGTTGCTCACCGGCTTTCCTCACGCATGAGGCAGTCACTATGTCAAATCCGACCGCAGACCAACCCAGCAGCAAACTTGCATTCCTCGCCAAATGCCTGAAATAGCCCCAAAACTGTGCAGCCTCCAAGATCTCCTAGCAATGCAAACAAATTCTACGAATCGACCCAGATTAACTGCTACCTAGCTGGCACGGCTAAACCCACGTTGCACATCTTCCCTGGCTCTATACAAATGAGTGGGGAGGCAGCATTGTGTTGAGCACCTTTTTCCGAGGCTTTGCACGAAAAAAGCAGTCATCGCATCCAGGTCTCGCCGCCTCAGCTCCTCGCATAGGGCCCGGTCGCCCCGTCGCTGCACTTCCCGAAGCTCGCGCAGGTCGCGCTCTGCCTCCCGCACGCTCTTCCGAAAAGGCCCCAACCGCTGGGTCCCATCGGACAAGTCGAGGACGGCGCAAAGGCTGTCGTTGGTCTCTTGGAAGCTACTTTGCTGCAAGCCCGCAGGCAGCTCAGGCATACCCCAAGTCTTTTTCAGCTGCCGCCGTTGGGTTGCCTCTAAGCGCTGCAGCTGCTTTTCAACCATCTTCTTGAGATAAGCAAGTTTTGAATCAAAGTCTTGCGCTGGCGGCACTCTCTTGCGCTTGGCCTGCGGAAGGGCACTTGCATTTGGCCCGTGTCGGCCTTCCAGGGCTGGAATTGCTGCCTTGGGCAGCCCCCCATTTGCCGACGCATTGGCCGCCTCGGATGCCTTGCACGCCTTGGGCGCCTTCGGTGCTCTGGGCCGGCAGGGGCGCTTTGCCTCCTCTGTCTGCACCTTCTGCCTAAGCTTCCGCTGCGCCTCCCAAACCACCAGGAGCTTCTCTACGTCCCACTCCGTGGGCGTGAACTTCCGCCTCCACACGCACCGGAACCGGAGCCGCATCGGCACCGCCTGAGCTGCCGCGCGGTCCGCGTGCACCGCCTTGACGGCCTGGCGAAACGCGTCCTGAAAGCTCTGGCCGGACTTCATGTTCAGCAGGCAAATGTGGCGCAGCTGCACCAGGCTCATGTGCAAGTCGATGGCTTGGTCCAACTCCTTCACGTTCTGGCACTTGGCAAGGAGGTTCATGAAGCCCACGCTGGCCTGGTAGGTGCCGTGGCACTTGTTCCGTGCCACCCCTCGCATCACCTGCACCAGTGCAACGCCATATTCTGCTACAGCAACATGGGCGCACGGTTTTGCCCGATTTCTATTTGCCACTGGCGAAGGCAACGCGCAACAAACAACAACACAAACAAAACAAAAGGGAAAAGAAACAACACATGCCCTCCAAAAGAAGCAGCTCATCCCTCGGTTTCAGCAAGTGGCCGTCTTGGACTTGGGTTTCTTGACGCCCCCGGGCTTCTGCTTCACCTTGCCGTTGCGCAGAGGCATCGGCACCAGCTCGGGCCCGGGGCCATCGGAGCCCAGGAAGCGGCGGAAGGCCCGCAGCTCCTCGAGGCTCAGGGCCCGCAGCTCTGCCAAGGCCTTGGACCGACTCGTGGCCATCACCTGCGAAGCCCCGAGTCACCGAGCCAAAGCCTGGTGAAATGTGCTGAATCACTGAAGGGGCCCACCCATGTACGTCAACAGGGCAAACGCCGTGAATGCGGTGGATTCTCACTACTCTTCAGATGCGGCTACACTTTCATGAGGTTTGCTTTTGTGTGTTGTTTGTGAAGAACACCCAACCGAAATCATGCACTTCGAGGGAAACCCTTGTGGAGCCAAGCCCAGGCTCTTGTCTAGCTGCTCATCGTTTTAAGCTTAGCTGCCTTAAACTTCAGCCATGCACATACTCTTTGCGCGACGCCCGGCCTTTGCGAAAAGGCGCTCGTGGTTGCTATTCTCCGTGGCTGCATCCCCTGCGCCTGTCCGGCTTTGTTCATGAGGCTGTGGCTGGTCTGGGTCACCTGGGCCTGGCTGGCCAGGCTGGCTGGGCCGGGGTTTCTTCCTGCCCTTCACCTCCAGGCGCTCAGCCCTGGCCTTGTCATAGGCCGCCCGCTTCTGGGTGTCCACCAGCGTCTCGAAGGCCTGCACCACCGCCCGGAAAGACTCAGGCGTCCCGCCCTTGTCCGGGTGGGTCACCAGCGCCCGGCGCCGGTATGCAGAGCGCACCTCGTTGTCAGAGGCGGAGGCCGCGATGCCAAGAGTCAAGTAGTGACACTGCTGGCGCTGCATGCCGCAAGCGCGCAAGCATGGCTGCGCAACAAGTGTCAAAGACCTGAGTGTTTGGAAGGTGCTAACAGCTCATCTGCAGTATATTGTCTGCACAGTGTGTAGTATATGTCTGTCGCATCTAGCAGAGCTGGAAAGAACGCCGATCGTGTCACTACATTTACACACCATCGCTAAGAGTAGCCATGCATAGTGGCGTCTTGAAAAAGGTATGTCCTCGCTCAAAGAGCCAAAGCATCTCTAAATCACTCGCACATCACGAAGCCCGAAGCCCCTAGCCAGCAATTCGATTTATGTGCTTCCGTTATATCATCGATCTTTTGGTGTCCGTGTCCAAAATGTTCAACCTCACGGGCTGTCCAGGACTGCTTGAACCCTCGCGGGTGCAGCCGCCGCACCTTGAACGCTGCAGCCTCAAGTGGCACAGGCTCATCCACCGACTGGGAAGTGGTGATACACCCCACCTTGACCTCATCCTTCTTGCTTTCTTCTGTGAAAACAGGAGCAGCTACAGCTTACAACCCGACAAAAATTGTTTTGCAGCTTGCTGGACGTGCCTGCAGTTCATACTTGCGCTGCCTTTTGCCTGAATGTCGTTGCTCCACAAGCCGTGCAATGTTACAGAACAATCGGCGTGGGAAGACCAGCTCCTTCCTCAGGAAGTCTGTTCATGCCGAAGCCTTGCTGGACCGGCATGTGTGGTGAAAGCGCAGGGGTGAGGAAAATTAAACAGAAACCAGTGCTTCAGTGGTGTGTGTGTGCGTGTGTGTGTGCGTGTTCTTTGTTGGGGGGGGTTCCCACAAGTGTGATTTTGATGAACCTGAAGACAAAGTTGAGAAATCCGGAAGGGCGTCTCATTTGCAAAGCCAAAAAATGCCTGAAAGGCCTCGCCTCTCATGTGCAAAGGCACAAAACCTCAAAGAACCCCCCTTAAAAACACTTTAAAATGAAAACAAGTCCTGAGGGGAATGTTTTGTTCATGCCTGGCCTGGGAGGCTTCCCATTTGCAGAAAAAACAAAAACATCGAAGACCACAAACAAAAAAGTCCTGAGGGAAATGTTCTGTTCGTGCCCAATACCTTTTGTCTTGGGAATTGTGGTTTCACTGTTTACCGCGAGGTGAGGTGGTGTTTTTCAGATCTGGCCAATCTCCCAGCTCTCGCCCATGAAGCTTTCTCATGGCATCGGATGCATGGCACCCCGTGAAATTGATTTTGGATTTGTTTTCTTGGCGTGGTATCTCTGTGGATTCCCAGGGAGGGCACTGCATCCCCTGCTTTTGGTACAAGCTCTCTGCACCGGTCTCTGAATAGATCAGATAAAATGATTCCAAGCTTTTCAGCCAGTCATGATAAGGGTAAGTTCGGTGTTGCTCTGTGCGCCAATGAAAGAACAACCGGCCGGCACAATGCCCATGCCCAATGCCCAGGAATCCCGGAAAGCCCTGGCCATAAAAGGCTCGCAAGCCACATAAAAGGCTCGCAAGCCAAGGCAGCCCCCTAGGGTTGCATAGGGTCCCTCCAACCAGGGTGTACGTCATGGGGCACATGACTGCAGGTGACGGAATCAGCTCCACCTTGTTGCCCCAAATCAGCTCTTCCTGGCCAAGTAGCTCTGCGTCCGGTAGGTCCTTGCTGAGCAGCACGCATCGCGCGCCTGCGCGGCTGACGGCCAGCAGGCTCGGCAGGAAGTCGGCATCCTCGGAAGGCTCAACAGGTCTGGCAATGGCCAAGGGCCAACTCCAGGCCTAATAGCAGATTTTCACACCCGGAGCAAGCAAAGTCCAGGCAACAGCCATCGCAACCCGTCCTCCCGGGAGAGGTGGATGGCCACGACCTAGCAAATCCCATTCGCCCCAATCTGCCCTGACCCCTGCGTCTGGCTCTGTGCCCATAACCGCCATGAGGGACTGCTTACCATTGAATAATTGCAACCCACTCAGTAGGCCGGACCTCCAAAGTGCTTCTTTCACGCACCCTCACCCAAGCTCCCGGCATCCGAGCCAGAAGACTTGGCAGCCTGCACGCGAGGCCAGGCTGGGCTGGATTGCACGAATGCGTGCTGCTTTTTGGGAAGGCTGCGCTTTCCTTGTTTTTTTAAGGGGGGCCAGGAGGAGGCAGACCATTTTGGGGGTGTTTGTGACACAACCCAAATCTACTACCAAATGACCAGTAGCTTTAGGCTTTAGGGATCAAAAAGTCTTGTGGCAAATCATGACAGGTCGCCTTGCCATGGTGCGCCAAACCCAATACCTGCCTGATGCATTTACACCCGCAGAGGCACCCAAGAAAGGAACTTGGCGAGGTTGCCCAGACCGGTGCCCGTACGTCTGGTTTCCCCACGGCACGCCAGGCCGCCAGGCGCCGACCCGCCATGCGCCTGTCGCCTCTGCAGGGCGGCCGCCAGCGTCCGCGAACGCAAGCAGACCTGAAGGGGCGCCAAGGGCCGGTTGGGAGATTGTGGACACTCCATGGGTGTTGGCCCAGCCACACGTGCAGGACCACAGTCGCAGTCCCCAAATGACCTTCCGCATCACTCCCTTTCCTTGTTGCTTCGCGATGCCCCTGTATGCCTGGACTCGTTGGTTGGGAAACCGCCCCAATTGGCCCTAAGGCCGCAAAAATGGGAGCGAGGGGAAGACGCCGCTGAATCATACCACATTTAACGCGGAGGCCGCGGTTCAAATGGCCACTGAGCCTCAGCTTACTGACCTATGAGAATCCCTCATCCTTGCATTTGCTGGAATGCAACTGCCCGATGGAAAATCCCTTGCCTCCTGGTAAGTGAGAACAACCCGGCGCTGCCCGCAGCCTCTGGTCAGCGTCATGTTGGATTGTCCGATCCCGCTTGACTCCGTGCTTCATCTGAAATATATCCTACTCCAGCGACCATGTTGTCAGCACATGCCACAAACATGGGAGCTTCGCCCAAGTGGAGCAAGCCCACGCACCAATCTGTCAAGATAAGAGACCCTTGGCAAAAGCCCTCCAAGTTCTCCAAGCAACCCACCAGTGCCGTAGCATCTGGTGTCAATGAAGCTTGCTCGTCATATGCGCCATGGAGCGTCGTCAAGTTCGGCATAAGGCTACGGAAGCGGTGCTGTTCTTGTGACCAAGGGTTCGGCATGCAAGGTGCTCTGGTAATTGCAGGCTTCCGCAAGCATGTGCTGAGATTGGCAGATCAGGCCCTCCCTTCTGCTGGTCCGACTTGCATGACAGACACGTTGTGAAGCTGTGTTCTCAAATGTGGTTTGATCTTTTCGGCCAAATGGCTGCAGGGTGGGCAAGCTACACAGGATACTGCTAACTCTGAGGGCCAGGGCTTGCCACCACCTGGCCTTCCGGACAGTTCAATCCCAAAAACGTGCTCAACTGACCAGAGATGACAAAAAATACACTACAACCAAAGAATCGCAGTCCCATGACGGCTTCCCATATCTAAACCCAAAACAACATGATGGCAACGCGTCGCAAATACGCATGCCGAGTGTGACGTGTGAAATGCTTAAGCTGGTCTTAGGCACTTGCCATTGGCATCCAGCAACTCCACGGACTCATCGGGGCCGGGCTCCGAAAGACTGGGCGTGCACCCGGGTTGTTGCCTCGTTGCCTCTTTTCAGGCCTCTAAGCTGAACTGGTGGACCCCAAGTCTAAATTTCTACCTCCAGCATCCTTTGCAAGTTGTTCATCGGATGCGTTTCCTAGTTTACTTGCCCGCACGCGCTGTCGCTTCTTGTCGGCATGGCATGCGTCCTCTCATTTGCCCGCTGCCCTTTTGTAGCTTGTATAATTTGTCGCAATGCCGAAACGTTTGATAGCAAGCAGAAGCCACCGTGCCTGCCAAGCAGCACAGGATATGTTTACCCAGGGTCCGCTGCATTTGAACGTCTGGCCGTCATGGTCATGTGCTTAAAAGTCTACAAATTAGTACCTGAATGGCATGTCTTATGCCAACATGCTGTTAAAAGCTGTGCCATTGTTTGTGCTACAAAAAGCAGGATATTACCTTATTTACTTCTAGATGCATCTTATTTTACTTTATGAGAAGTATCTCACCTTTATTCTATTTTATAATATTTACATATAGTAGTTTTTTTTTCTGATCAGTGTTTCCTTTATTTGGTCAATTTTCTGTAGACAACTGTCTATCTTATGGTCGTATCTTGTCATGCCTTTGTCCCAGGTAAAAATGCCTGTCTGCTTGGAGCATGTTCTTGAAACACCTGCCCTGCGTCATACATCCAGGCAAATGTGCCCCACCTCGTTCCTTGTGTAAACTCTATCATGGTCTGCCGAGCCCTGCACTGCGTCAACAGAACCTGGCGGGGCCACAAGTGAGCCGCGGCCATCTGATGCTTTCGGGGCCCAATACACCCTAAGGCTGCCCTAAGCACCATGGCAGTAGCCCCTGATCTTTCCTCGACCTCTTGCTCGCAATGCCCATTTGGTCAGCTTGGTCAGCCTTGACCGCGTCGCCAGAGTCTGCTTCTGCTGCCTCAGAGCGCCGCAAGCCAAACAGCGGTGAGCAAGCGCCTTGCCAAAATCCCACGTCATGCTCATGCACGCCACAGCCGATGCCAGGTACACAAGGATCACAAAGCTGCCCATGATTTACGAGCCACCTGTTTGCTCTTGGACCTTGTTGCTCGCTACGCTGCTGCCCATGCGCGTGGCATGTGTGGCATGTGTGGCATGTGTGGCATGTGTGGCATGTGTGGCATGTGTGGCATGTGTGGCAAGGCCCCTCATGGGCATGCTGTCCACAGCATGGCGGTTGGCATTCCAAGCGGGGAGGGAATGGTCTGAGGACTGCATGGCCAGCAAACGAAGCAATCATGCGAATATTATGTGGTTCTGTGCCATGCTTTCGTGGAACATTTATATTGTTGGGTTGTTTTGCCTTGCTGTCATGACGAGGTGGAACATCTTTGTGCCTCAGCGGATGCAGGGGTAACATGCATGGTGCCCGTGCTGCAGCGGCAGTATCAGGAGCAAAGGTGCGGGGCTGCATTGGATTTGCTGCTTCGGCCCGTGCTCCCCAACCACAGGCCGAATTCCCATGAGAGACTCAGCGCATGTACCTCCTGCAAGAAATTTTGGGGCCCCGGGCAGCGTGCACCAAGCGCAAGGTACTATGTCGATCCAGGCCTATGGTCGCTCGCAATCAGGGGTCCCCTTTGTCCACATTACATATCACAAGCTATACAACAGCGCTCATGTCCAGTTTTAGATGGCTGGCCCTTCGTGGCTGAGTCGGCCAAACGAGTGGAAAGCAGAGTAGATTCAGCAAGGATGAGTCCTTCCACACTGAAACAACATTGAAAGCTACTGCAAACCAGTATCACTTGGCTGAAATTGGCAGTCAGGCCAGTCCAACGAAGCTTGAACGGCACACTCGTTGTTTGCTGCAAAGCTGGCAATTGCAGACAAGTATGCTAGTGCTCGTTGCCCACATGTCTCCGCCACTGAGGGCGCCAGCCATACTCAGCGGCTGTCCGCAAGGACGGCGCATCTGCCTGCCCCACCAGCATGACCACTGCCACAGCTCCAATACCACCACAACATCAATCGCAACACACACAAAAACATGACACAGAAACATCAACTGTGACATTGACGGCAACGGTGACGGCGCCGGAAACCGTCACACCCAAGAAGCAGGACTAGGATCACGACCAGGGTCACGACCGCGACGACCAACGCGATGGCCACCAGCAACACCACAATCGAACGAACTCACACGGAGCAACCTGAAGAACGAACCAATCAACCAACCGACCGACCAACCGACCGACCAACCGACCGACCAACCGACCGACCAACCGACCGACCGACCGACCGACCGTCTGACCGTCTGACCGACCGGCAGACTGACCCACAGACCCGCCGACCCGCCGACCAGCCAAGCAACCAACCAACCAACCAACCAACCAACCAAGCAAGCAAGCAAGCAACCAACCAACCAACTCACCAACCAACCAACCAGCCAGCCAGCCAACCAACCAACCAACCAGCCAGCCAGCCAGCCACAACCAACCAACCAACCAACCAATCAACCAACCGGCATAGGCCCGAAATACCAATAGCATGGGCCTGACCAGCATCCTGGCTGCATCGCCAAAAACAAGCGGCGCCAGCAACCACCTTGAGCACACCAAACGGCACCGTGACCAGAATCCACAAGCACAACTAGAAATTGCCACCGCAGTTGAGCACATCAAAGAGCACCCTGACCAGCCACCACAACAGCACCTTGACCGGCACCCTGACTGCGTCGCCAAACAGCACCCCGACCAGCCAGCACGGCGCACACCAAACCAGCACCCAAACAGCACCCTGAACCTCACCAGCAACAGCACCCGGACTGCATTGCAAAACAGACACCGCCAGAAACGCACCCAAACAGCACGCTGACCAGCACCGACCTGGCCCAAACACGTGAAACCCCCTCTTTGGAAGTAAGTAAGAACCCCTTATATAGCTTCCAGGTATCTGGGGACAAAGCAAATCAAGGCAGACAGACAGACAGACAGCCAGCCAGCCAGACAGACAGACAGACAGACAAACAAACACAACAAAACAAAAGCAAGCAAGCAAGCAAGCAAGCAAGCAAGCAAGCAAGCAAGCAAGCAAGCAAGCAAGCAAGCAAGCAAGCAAGCAAGCAAGCAAGCAAGCAAGCAAGCAAGCAAGCAAGCAAGCAAGCAAGCAAGCAAGCAAGCAAGCAAGCAAGCAAGCAAGCAAGCAAGCAAGCAAGCAAGCAAGCAAGCAAGCAAGCAAGCAAGCAAGCAAGCAAGCAAGCAAGCAAGCAAGCAAGCACACAAACAAACCCACAGACAAACACTGGCAGCTGCACGCAGACAGATGGGAAAAAAACACAGAGGCAACACAAAAAAAACACTTAAATCAACCGGACAGACAGAATGCAATTACAGAACCAGGACAAACAGGACACATAGGAAAGAGAAACCCACAAACACCATTTGCACCCTCCACTCCCTCAGCTGCTTTTCACACCATGACGGCTTCGTCAATGCTTCTGGCAGGCCAGAGCTGCCGCCAGGCTGCCGCCAGGCGGCCACGGACCTGGCATAGTCCAACTGGTTCACCTCAATCAAATTCCAGCAAGTGCACCTCAATGAAGAATCACAAGAGGCTGGGGGCTGCTCTCTCTCTCTCTCTCGCCGGAGTTGGGCCTGGAAAACCGACCTTCCCCAGCCTGCGACGCTATGCGCAGCACACTGCGTTGGCCTTGGCTCTGCATGGCAAGCGTGGCCTCACTGGACGTCCAAAGAAGACCTGTCAGAAGGAAGGCCTACGGGCTGACTTCGAAAGGGGCGCTGATCCGCTAGCTTCGCACCTCAAGGTCGCTCGCCAGAGAAACCCTCAAGTAGGCACCTAAATTGAGCTGCCCGCCAATCCAAGGCCCAGGCTCTGCGAAAACTGCTGCGGGGACGGGGCAGCCTCTGAGTGCAATGGGGGCAGGGCATTGCCACCAAGGCTCCCATATATAGGTAAATCACACATCCATCCCAAGCTCACATTGCCCAAAGTCCAAGTGGCAGATGCCTTCCTTTGACCTTTTGACCTTCCGATGCCCCCGGCCAGATGCAACTGGACTCCTGGCCGGGCGCCAATAGCGGTGTCAAACCCTGCCTGCGACGGGGGCCTCGGCCTGGGCCGCAAAAAAACCCTTCTTAATGCCGGGTTTTTTGCTGGGACCTGTTCCCGTGCTGGGCTTCGAGTACTGCGGGCAACATGGGCTTGAAAGGGCCATGGGCAGAAGTTCGAGACAGCCTGGCCGGAGAAAGTGGCTCGCTTTTCGAGCCCTTCCAGGCCCCGTTTGAGAACAAAAGTGAAAGCCGAACCCCTGACCATAAGATTATCCGTCAGCGCGCGCTCGGCCATGTTTTGCGCAGTCAAATGATGGTCTTCATGTGGCGGACCACCTCCAGCACCTCCACGGAGATTTTCACAGTGCTGCAGCCCAACGGGGTCAGGAACATGTCCTCAAGGAGCGGCACAGCCGTGCGCATCAATGTCGAAAGGGAGGCCCTTGGGAGAGAACTCGTCATTGAGGCCGTTTCCCGAACATGGAAGGCCCTTTGATTTCAAGGAGAGTATCCGCTTCCATGCCTGTCGAGCAAAGAGCACTTCCCACGTCTTCCCACACCCTCATACCATGGGCCTCTGCCGCAAAATCAACATCAACCCCTGCTAGCATTGCATCTGGTGGGCGCCTCATCACCTTTTGGAATGAGAAAGATGGCCAAAGCTGGAAAACAGCCTGATATCACCATGCATGTAGCCGCCCCAACTCCCCCCAAAGGCCATCGGACCCAAAAAGCCATTCCTCCACATCACGCGTTCCATCTTGCACCCATACAACTCAGTTGCGTAGCTGGATCGACCTGCAAAAAGCCAAAGATCCCTAACAAGCTCCGTAGCGACACGATAGAAATCAACTTGGGTTGGCTCCGACATTAAATGGATAGTAGGTTTTTGGACAACAACTAAAATAAGAATGCAGCCTCCAAAAACGACGGCTGGATCAAGCGGCCCAGCTTTTAACGGAGCATCAAAGCCTTGCAGCAGAGCAGCGGAGCTGCCCCAGCCAGTCTTCACCGGCCTCAGAAATGCCCCAATGCTCAAAGGCCTGTCGTACGGCCAAAACCAGGGACCCCACAGGACCACTGGCAATAGAGCAACTTGCCCTCAACTGGGAACCAAGGGGAAAGGTGAAGGATCAAAGAAAAGGAATTGCAGTACAGAGATGAGCCAACCATGGCCAACCCTAAAGTTCCTGCCTCTCCGGTATCTTGAAGGCACGTTCATCCACACGGACCCTCCAGTTCCCGCCGGGGTGCCCGAAGTCGATGAACCGCTCTTGAGCGTTCAGCGCCCAGCGCGCCTTCACTAGGATGGAGTCCGGGCCCCAGAGGAAGAGACCGCACTTCCCTGGCGCAAGGCCAGGCCACAAATGGGTATAGGTCAAAATTAAACCACCATGGGACCACAGGTTTAATCCATACTTCCATTCACCAGGGTTCCCATTTTGGGTACATATTTTTACCCAAATCAAGAAATGGGTCAGTCATGGCATAAAGTGGACAGGTTCATGGAAACACGCTGAGCTAGACTAGCGTGGAGCTGTGGTTTGGCTTACGTGGCGACAACGCAGACTAGTGTCATTCGCCTCCGGTTCCCAGAATTCACTGTAGTTGTTGGCAAGGTGGCAAACATGGAGCATGACTATATCATGGCAATTGCATTTGAATTCACCAACATGAGTCCACGCAACTGCTTACATGGCACTCATGTGAACTCCTCACAAACGACACAACCCTTTGCAGTGGAATACGACATGAACCATCCACAAAGTCGTTGCAACCGGTCGGCAAACACTAATGCAACATGGGAACCTCTGAAGTTGGCTGGCGCTGACCATTCCCTGCTAACCTAGCCAACAGGAAGACTGCCCATGACCCTGCACTCGGGCACTTTGACAAACTAAGGTGGCATGTTTGTTGTGTTGTGCTTTTGATTGTAGTTGCCAACCCTCAAACACCCGGCGCCCTGTCAGACCTGCCAGCTCAACTCAGGCACCCTGCCTGCTTGCGACTGAGCGTCCCCATTCGGGTAAAACCTTGCGCAAGCGCACGCTGGGCTGGCTAACGTGAAAAAATTGAAACAACGCCCAAACAAATCCAAGGAACAGTGAGGTAATCAATAACTTTCCTCCCTCGCCTGTCGATGGGCCTGTTCGTCTCTTGAAGTACAATTCTGCACCGGCTTTAGGGTCTTTTGACTCTTGCCACTTGTAGGTCGCCTCCCCTTGCCCCGTGCCTCTTGACCGCACACTCAACCATGCATTGACGCAACAGGCAAGTATGTCCCCTCCTCCAGGCAACTGAAAGTGGCCATGCAACTGCTTCCCTGTACATCTCGCACATAAGCCAGCAGCACGCGATGGCCAACTCAAATGCATCTGGGTTGCTACTGCCAACATGTGGAATCTTTGGAAAACCCGGGCCGGCTGAACCTTCATCCCAAGGAGCTGGATGAAGAAGGGCCCATGGGCGCCCAGGCAAAACTTCTCTGACTCCAAGGACCCCCGGCGGGGGTACTTCTGCAGCAGGCTCGGGACCCCTTCAATCTCCTGAAGAGGCGCAAAACAAAGGAGCCATCGGACAGATTCAAGACCCATGTACTTGCAACCTTGGGGACAGTTGGGGCGAGAGGTTCACGACTGGAAGTTCCATCCGGGCCAATCCCCCAAAGCTGGGTGAAGTAAATTTAGGGGCGGCATGAAGAAACTCTGAGAGGCGTGCGCCCTGTATCCTGCAAGTCGACCCTGAGGTCGTGGTTTGATCGACAAGCAATCGGGGAAGGTGCCATTTGAACGCTGAAGGGAATGTATACCTGCCCTTGACGACGCTTAGGTTGCCAACGGGCAGCAGTAAGGGACAACGCGGTTTAGACCCACCCAAAGAAAATACAAGCTTCAAAGAAGATGTGGCTGTGGGCAGTTTGGGGCGGCGACCCAGCAGGTTTTCATGGTGTAGCTGCGCATGTTGCCGCCAAGCTTCCCATATCTGCGTCATGCCCTTCTTCATCACGTCCTTCCTTTCTTTGCCAGGCAGTTCTACATGTCTTTCAGGCTTTCGCGGTGCTACCAAGGGGGAAATGGTAACGAACCATATGAGCAGTGGCAGAAAATGCATAAACCACCGTGGAAGCTTCTCAGGCTGGCCGGCCCCCATCTCAGCAACAAGAGTACCGGGTTCTTGCTGCGCGCACCTCATCTTTTCGGGAAGGCCTCAAAAACCCATGCAACCATTACAATTCATGCATTGTTTGTTCATACAAGTTTTGGACGGTGATCAAAGCATACACACATGCGATTCCCGAAAGTAGACTAAAATGACAAGCTGTGCTGCTGAGGTCGCTGTAGAGGCTTCCGACTTGCTTTCAATTTCCACACTGCACAGGCAAATTTCCTGAAGGTTGGTGATCAAGCAAAGCATCTTCAAGCCAGCTTCCCTGAAGCTTCCAAAAACAAGCTGGGAACTGAAGGACTTCTAAAAACTTCGAACTGTTTCTGCAACACGAACTTCGTGCGGTGGTTGAACAGGAGCGACCCAATACTGAACCTTTGGCACACAGAATTTAGAACAACCGTCAGGTAATTGTGACGCTCGCAGCGTGCAAGCTCGGGACGTGCACGCATCCACAACTGCCCATCTGTAGGTAATTGGTCAAGTTTCTTCAGCACAAGGGCTCCCTCTTTCGGGCAGGTCATATTTTCCAAAGGGACCGGGAGCAATCATGTCCGCCCATGGACATTTTCCCATGCGGTCAGCAAGTCTTCGGAGGCAGCGCTGTTCCCTTTGATATGTAGCATATGTCCTGGTACGATGTCACAATGTGGACGATGTCTACTTGTTGTCCTTTTTTAGCGTGCAATGGCATCTGCTGGTGGTGGGGTGGGATGTGGGTAAGTGTGACTTTTGCCATGAGCGTGGCACTGAGCAGCAAATGCATGAAATGAAGACACACGGGACAACCCCTCCCCGTCAGCAAAGTGGCAGAGTCTTGCTGAGCAACTCCGTCTGCAAGCACATGTGTCGCTTCAGCTCCGCCCTCGGGTCAATGAGAAAGCGCACGTCAAGCTTTAACTGTTGGGCCAGCCCCTTGAAACATCCTTTTTCGGGCTTTCCTTCAAGGAGTCATGGTCCGCCTGCTTTGATACATCTTCCCGAACTTTGGCGGACCCCTCACTCCACCTCGTCATTTGGCTGTGGGTCAAAACGCTGGAAACGCCTGGTGAACATCAAAATAGGTGGTACATGGGTGTTCATCCGCCCCAAAATGGGATCGGCATAGGTGATGACCCATGGCCATTTGCGAGTACTTCTAAGTGGTCCATGGGGAGATCTCCAAAGCCTCCCCTCAAACGCCGAGGGGCTGCACCCGGTCCAGCTTGGTGGCGCGCTGGCTGTCGGACTGCAAATCCGTCAGCTTGTTACCTGAGCCAGCAGCCCGCCAGTGCCAAAAAGCCCAAACCCTTGAAGGGAGGGGGGAGGGAGGGACGGAGGGAGGGAGGAACAAAGCAACCTGCAGCACGCCTCTGCAACTTGAAGATTGGAAGCGCCAAGTCTTTGGAAAGTAAGCATTCACATCGCCCTGAATAGTGCCGAGGTATGGTGAGCATTGTGGCAGAAAGCTCACAAGATATCACCGGGCAACTTAGGCTCTTTGTGGTGGAAGTTATTTTCAGAAGCCCCCCCCCCTCCCTGCCCTCGAGCTGCAAAGGGCAGCATTGGGGCCAAGCAGCGGATCTCCTTGCAGAGGTCCTCCACGCCGTCTCCAGCATCAAGCAGCTTGGCCTCCAGCAACTGCACGTGCAACTCCTGGGCGCATTCAGCTTCGACCCACTCCGTCCCTGCCATGTCCGGAGGTCCCTGCAAAAGGGCCTTGTCTGGCCCCTTTGGGACTTGTGTTGTCCTCGGCTTGCATTCTCCACGTCGGGGCGTCCCTGAAAGAGGGGTTCTAGGACGTTTGCAGGTGTGCTTGTTTGGTGGTGGCCCTCCCTGGGCAGACAGGTGAGAAGGAACCTCCAAATGGCCTTGAAAAGCCCCATGAACAGCCTGTGCTCTGACGTCAAATCCAAGTCTTGACGGGCCAACTTGTCTTGCATAGGCTACCTGTAAGTTTCCAGGCTACTTGTCTGAGAAACATGTCCCACGCCAACAAAATGATGCCTCAGCATGAGGCGAGCACAACATACCCCATTTCTTGCTGTACCTTGCATGGCATGAGTGCATGTTACAGCCGCAAGTTACAGCCGCAGCGTGAGAGGGATTTACAAGGCCAAACAAAGACGCGCCAAGCCTTGTGATGGAATAAAACCCATCTGAACCAGCGCCATCTGTTTCTAGCTATTTTAGCTATTTTTAGCCAAACTAATCTACAAAACGGACACCCATGAGCCAAGACCTGTGCAGTGGTCCTCATGCTAGCCAGGCATCGGCTTTCTCCTTGCGGTGGGCCAGCATGTTTCCGCACTTCACCTCGTCCCTGCAGATGGGGCACTCCTGACCGCCAAAGCAGCCTCGTCTTGCCAACCCGGCAACACCGTGAGGCCATTGAACAAGTGACCGCTATGTGCCATAGCGCAACAGTCCAAAGGGGTTGAAGTTGCAAACAGAAAAACAATGGCATGGTTCTATGGCAATGGTGGCTCTCCGTGATTGTTCCACCTCCCCAGTCCCAAACCTCTGCATCCTCTGCCAATTCTTTTGATGAAACCAGAACGGCTCGTTCACCTCAGTGTGATGCTTCGCCCCTGCGAGCATGAAGCCAGTTGAGCTCGAGGACATGCTGGGTACAAAGGCTCCGTTTGTCGCTACATCATTCCGATTGCAAAGAAATTGATTGCTCAAACATGTGTGGCAATCGGTATGCCAGCAGTGCTAGCCCCGCTTGCTACGTTGGCTCGCTGCCTCCTAGGAAGGTCAATTGCTGCTGGTTCCGATTTGCACGTTTGCTCAGTGGTGTCTTTCTTGCTGGTTCCCAAAAGCAAAATGACAGCCAAGCCAAGTCCTAACCCGACCATCCTCCCCCCCTCACCCGCTTTCTCCTTTTTAAGGCCTCGCTTTTGACGGTTTGGGTCTGCCCAAAAGTCTCCAAGTCTCCATGGCCCCACACCCACACCCCCCCCAGACCCACCCACCCCACACCCACCCCACCCCACCCCCCTCGCCCGCCCGCTGGGTCCTCAAAGTTCTTGGGGCAGCTGGGCCCGTGCTCCGCCAGCTTCCGGCGCCGCAGCCGCTGCCCGCACTGGGGGCACGGCACCAGGTGCAGCTGGCACTCCGCCTCACTCTCTCGGATCGGTCCAACCGGTGGGAACGGTGGAACGGTGGATCTTCGGCGGACCTCAGGCCTCTTTTTGGGCATCTCTACTGTACACCCAGCTGGCCCACAGAGAGTCATGCATTCCTTCGCGTGTGAGGTATGTCGCTTCTGCCATCCCCTGTTCATTCAGTGAAAAGCTCTGGCTGCAAGCCAATGATTTTCTCCGCTGCCTTTCATGGCCCCAGGCACGGCGACCCATCTCGCTTGCCAAGCCCGCTGTGGCCCTGTCCAAGGCACAAGGTGCGAGGCCAGGAGGTCCTAAGATGCAAAACTTGCACAACGCATCCAACCAGCCAGTCAAACCGCCAAACTGTCCGGCATGTGCCGGCCTTTTGTCGGCGAACCCGCAGCTGCGGCGCCACGAGCACTTCTCACTTTAACAGGTTCAACAAGCAAACAATTCAGATTGTATCTATCCGTTTTTGTGAGCGATGCTAGCTTTTCTCCCAAATCACTGACTGACATGCATCAGCAAACAAGCTTTGAGTTTAGGCCCCAAGCTGCACTGCCACATATTCATGTAAAACGTCTGCCGCCGCGGACAGCAATCTGTCTCTCACGTGGAGGGTCCTTCTGGGAAACATGTCACTTCTGGGAAACATGTAGTTGCTCGTGGCCCCGTATCACCCCGTGCAACGATGCCAAATGGTGTTTTTTGTTTTTCTTTATGCGAGCCAAGAAGAGCTGCTGCATGGTTCCACGCCATGAATTTGGAACCTGTCAAAGGATCCTTCATAGGTTAGCTCGCCGCATATTTGGCAATCCTACCGAGGCTGTTGATGCAACGTCGACTTTCGTGCGAGGACCACAACATACCACAACGATCGCAGCCAAGCCCCATTGCTGGGCCGAGCCACAGTGTAGCTCCCCTCCCAGCTGCAGAACTCCGAATCGTCCAAGCGCTGCCTCTTGGGCGAGCCTGGTTCGAATCAAACGATCTGGGCTCATTTAGCCTTCCCGCTCAATGAACGTCCTGAAGTCAGCTGGAAGGCGGTTGTGGGTTCCGTTTTTGGCAACGGAAGTTTGAGTCAGCAGCTCTTCGTTTGCAAAGGGCCTTCTGACAGCGGCTGCAGAAACCGGTCACAAAGGACCTGTTTGCGAGGGGGGGGACAACAAACAAAAGGATGACGATGACACAACAGAGAACTATTTATTCTGCCACAATGCTTGAACGCAGCTATAAGATAGTTCTGCTCGCAAACGCTCCCTCCTATAGTCTGGCGCCAATCTACGGACCTAGCGCCTAGCGCCGGTGGTGGCATACCATTTGAACTGCAAGACAAATGGTCCGATTCTCTGTCGAAAGTCTCGTGTCTGGGGCCCAAATGGCAGCTCTTCTCTGCCACGTGGCGTCCACCGGCTGACTCGCCTGCCAAAGTGCCCTCCTCCACGGCATCGACATTGACCACCTGCGGATCAGGCTGGGCCATGAGTGAGGCACAGCAAATGTGCATGACCAAGTATGACAGTATGACATGCAGCTCAAAAAACGCCTCGCCAAAAACAAAGCTTCCATGAGTTTGTGGATTTTGCCTCCACCCTGCTGGGGGCAGCCACTCGCCCCAAAAGTCCAGCGCCTTGCTGTGCCGGTGGTATGGGCACCAGACCTGGCAAGCTCACCAGTCCATCAAAGCGGTTCCACACAAATGAAGGGCCTTTCCCAAGCGCGCCTGGACACAATCACACCCGAAACCGGTTTGGCCGCAGCCTTTTTCCCCCTTGCTCCTACCGCCTGCCCCTCCAGGCCCCAACCAGCTGCCTTGAGGTCGTGCATCATCCGCAGCAGCGGGCGGTTGCACTCCCGCAACGGTCGCCGGTCTTTGGCTGCCAGTGGAGTGCGGCAGCTGGGGCAGGCCAGGCACGGAGTGATGCAGTCGCTGCCTGGGCGCGCACGCACTTCTTCCAAGTCGCCGCTGCCGCTGCTGACAGCAGAGGAGCGGAATGGAGGGGATGGGGTGGAGTGGAGTGGCGGCGGGGAGGGGGCGAGTGTGAGTGTGAGCGTGAGTGTGCGTGCGAGTGTTAGTGTCAGAAAACTGGACTCGGCTGGAATTAGGACCCCAGCAAAAAAATCCGCCGACCCTTTCTCTAAAAAGGGGAGGCGCACGGGAAGGGTGGTTGGCGCATAAGTATAACCAAAGTTTCATCCTCATCAGCATCAGCAGCTGCAGCTACGAAAAAAGTTATCGTCACGGTCATCGTGATCATCATCATCCTTATCATCATCTCTTTCTTATTCTCTTATCCTTATCATCATTATCATCATGGTTGTCGTCATCTCTTATCACGCAGCATTGGTGATGCAGAGGATGCTGCGACGATAGTTATCATCACAGCCGTTACTGATGCTAAGGATGCTACGATGATAGTTATCATCCTTGTCATCATCTTTCTCATCATCTGATCATCACCTAGCATCATCTGACATCATATTACATATTGCATATTATATGAAGAAATCAAAAGGGACGTCAGACATCCTTGGCAATGCAAAAGATGCGATGATGATAGTTATCAAGGAACAAGTAGTGATGCGGTGGATGTTGTGATGCTAGTTGTCATGACGCGGATGATAACCATCAGCACGCCCCCATTATCATCCTGTGATGCTAAGGATGCTACGATGATAGCTATCATCCTCGTCATCATCTTTATCATCATCTGATCATCACCGGGCATCATCCAATATCTTATTATATATAGAAATCAAAAGGGACGTTAGACATCCTTGGCAACGCAAAGGATGCGATGATGATAGTTATCAAGGAACAAGTAGTGATGCAGAGGATGTTGTGCTGATAGTTGTCATGATGCGGATGACAACGATCATCAGGCCCGTGCCATTATCATCATGGTCGTCGCCATCTCTTATCAGGCAGCATTGGTGATGCAGAGGATGCTGCGATGATCGTTATCATGACAACCGTTGGTGATGCTCAAGGATGCTATGATGATAGTTGTCATCCTCGTCATCATCTTTCTCATCATCTGATCGTCACCTAGCATCATCTCATATCTTACTATATATAGCAATCAAAAGGGACGTTATAGTTATTAAGGAACAAGTAGTGATGCAGAGTCCCTTTTGATTTCTATATATAATAAGATATTAGATGATGCCAGTGATGATCAGATGATGATAAAGATGATGACAAGGATGATAACTATCATCGTAGCATCCTTAGCATCACTAACGGCTGCGATGACAACTATCATCGCAGCATCCTCTGCATTACCAATGCTGCCTGATAAGAGATGATGACGTCCATGATGATATGGGGGCGTGCTGATCGTTATCATCCGCGTCATGACAACGATCATCACAACATCCGACATCCTTGGCAATGCAAAGGATGCGATGATGATGGTTATCAAGGAACAAGTAGTGATGCAGAGGATGTTGTGATGATAGTTGTCATGATGCGGATGATAACGATCATCAGGCCGTGCCAGTATCATCATGGTCGTCGTCATCTCTTATCAGGCAGCATTGGTGATGCAGAGGATGCTGCGATGATCGTTATCATCACAGCCGTTGGTGATGCTAAGGATGCTACGATGATAGTTGTCATCCTCCTCGTCATCTTTCTCATCATCTGATCATCACCTAGCATCATCTCATGTCTTATCATATCTCACTATATATAGAAATCAAAAGGGACGTAAGACATCCTTGGCAATGCCAAAGATGATGATAGTTATCAAGGAACAAGTAGTGATGCAGAGGGTGCTGTGATGATAGTTGTCATGACGCGGATGATAACGATCATCACGTGCCCATTGTCATCACGGTCGTCGTCATCTCTTTTCGCGCAGCATTGGTGATGCAGAGGATGCTGATGATAGTTATCATCGCAACCTTTAGTGATGCTAAGGGTGCTACGCTGATAGTTATCATCCTTGTCATCATCTTTATCATCATCTGATCATCACCTGGCATCATCTAATATATACAAATCAAAAGGGACGTTAGACATCCTTGGCAATGCAAAGGATGCGATGATGAGGGTTATCAAGGAACAAGGAGTGATGCAGAGGATGTTGTGATGATAGTTGTCATCGCAGCCGTTAGTGATGCTAAGGATGCTACGATGATAGTTATCATCCTTGTCATCATCTTTATCATCATCTGATCATCACCTGGCATCATCTAATATCTTACTATATATAGAAATCAAAAGGGACGTTAGACATCCTTGGCAATGCAAAGGATGCGATGATGATGGTTAACAAGGAACAAGTAGTGATGCAGAGGATGTTGTGATGATAGTTGTCATGATGCGGATGATAACGATCATCAGGCCATGCCATTATCATCATGGTCGTCGTCATCTCTTATCAGGCAGCATTGGTGATGCAGAGGATGCTGCGATGATCGTTATCATCACAGCCGTTGGTGATGCTAAGGATGCTACGATGATAGCTGTCATCCTCCTCGTCATCTTTCTCATCATCTGATCATCACCTAGCATCATCTCATATCTTACTATATATAGAGATCAAAAGGGACGTTAGACATCCTTGGCAATGCAAAGGATGCGATGATGATAGTTATCAAGGAACAAGTAGTGATGCAGAGGATGTTGTGATGATAGCTGTCATGACGCGGATGATAACGATCAGCACGGCACCATTATCATCATGGTCGTCGTCATCTCTTTTCACGCAGCATTGGTGATGCAGAGGATGCTGCGATGATAGTTATCAGAGCCGTTAGTGATGCTCAAGGATGCTATGATGATAGTTATTATCCTCGTCATCATCTTTATCGTCATCTGATCATCACCTGGCATCATCTGATATCTTATCATATCTTACTATATATAGAAATCAAAAGGGACGTTAGACATCCTTGGCAATGCAAAGGATGCGACGATGATAGGTATCAAGGAACAAATAGTGATGCAGAGGATGCTGTGATGATAGTTCTCATGACGCGGATGATAACGATCATCACGCCCCCATTATCATCATGGTCGCCGTCATCTCTTATCAGGCAGCATTGGTGATGCAGAGGATGATCGTTATCATCACAGCCGTTAGTGATGCTAAGGATGCTACGATGATAGTTATCATCCTTGTCATCATCTTTATCATCCTCTGATCATCATCTAATATCTTATCATGTCTTACATATCTTACTGTATATAGAAATCAAAAGGGACGTTAGACATCCTTGGCAATGCAAAGGATGCGATGATGATAGTTATCAAGGAACAAGTAGTGATGCAGAGGATGCTGTGATGATAGTTGTCATGACGCGGATGATAACGATCATCACGCCTCATTCTCATCATGGTCGTCGTGATCTCTTATCAGGCAGCATTCGTGATGCAGAGGATGCGGCGATGATCGTTATCATCACAGCCGTTAGTAATGCTAAGGATGCTACGATGATAGTTATCATCCTTGTCATCATCTTTATCATCATCTGATCATCACCTAGCATCATCTCATATCTTACTATATATAGAAATCAAAAGGGACGTTAGACATCCTTGACAATGCAAAGGATGCGATGATGATAGTTATCAAGGAACAAGTAGTGATGCAGAGGATGTTGTGACGACAGTTGTCATGACGCGGATGATAACGATCATCACGCCCCCATTCTCATCATGGTCGTCGTCATCTCTTATCAGGCAGCATTGGTGATGCAGAGGATGCTGCGATGATCGTTATCATGACAGCCGTTGGTGACGCTAAGGATGCTACGATGATAGGCATCATCTTTCGTTAGTGTTTGGAGGACTGTGATGATAACTATCATCGTAGCATCCTCTGCATTGCCAATGGTGTCTAACGTTACTTTTTAAATGCATATAAGAACAAGAAAGAGATGATAATGATCATCATGATGATGACGTGTCTATTGGTAATGCACAGGATGCTGCGGCTGATGCTCCCTAGCCTATGCTTGCTTGCGTCCTGACGCCAGGCGCGACTGCGGCTCATGGGGGAGTGGAGAGCGGGGCTGAGAGCTGCTTTCCTTGACAAGGGCATCGTGGCAAGAAAACGTGTCTGGCATCACCAGCATCGCCCGGGCGTGTCCATTGGTAATGCACAGGTTGCTGCGGCTGATGGGGGGGTAGAGAGCGGGGCTGAGAGCTGCTTTTTCTTGACGAGATAGAAGGGCATCGTGTGGCAAGAAAACGTGTCTGGCATCACCAGCATCGCCCAGGCCACATTTGAAATGTATAGAAGAAAGAGATGATCATGACAATCATGATGACGATGATGCAAATCTTCGCAAACGCATGGTTTGCAATAGGATGGGAACCCGTGGTCGTTTTGCGCTCGTAAAAAGGAAGCTAGACCTCAGCACGCGCGGCCAGAACGCGCGGCCGGGCTTTGGTCCTGAAGCTAGTTGTCTTTGGCGCCAGTGCCTGTGTCGCGCATCGCTGCCACGAGACGCCACACCTCCGCAAGGATTTTCTTCTTTCGCTTTTCGCGCGTGCGTCCAAGTCGCATCTTGCTCCTGCACGCAATTTTCTGTAGGTCTTGCTCCGCGGCGCACGCGTTGCATGTCTGCTTGCCGTCCGTCTTGGCTCCGCCGCATCGTCGCGTGTACCTCGCGAAACATTTCTGCGGTCGCGCGACCCCGCACTGCGCGCACATCCAAAAGCCTCGTTGCTTTTGGCTGCACGCCTTGCATTTCTGCCGCTCCGCCTTTGTCGTGCGCCAAGCTGCTGTACTATATTCGGATTCCTCTTTCTTGTGTTGGCAGTTGTAGCAGGTTTTCGTTTCTTTGCAGTTCGAGCACACCCGCAAGAGTGCAGTGCGGGTTTGGTGCCATTTCGCGTGGAAGGCACTCGTGGGCAGCCAACACTTGCAACTGCGACATTGCCATGGATGACCAGCCTGCTCGTGCCTGCCAATGCATTCCTCACAGACGCGGCTCGTCTCCTCTTGCTTCCACTGCCGCGCTGTGTAACCGCGCGGCTCTTTGCGTTCCCGGCACTCGCTACATGGCTTCTCGATGATGTACTCTTGTCGGGTCCTTTTCCAGTCTATCGCCTCTCCTCTCCATACTCGGAGCAACAGGTTTCGCCCCACGTCTTCCCCGCGCTGGAAGGGCGCCAGGGCAAAGGGGCGAAATATGAGCAAACGTTCTCGACCTTCAACGCGCGTCACTGCGACGTAACATGTCAAGGGGTCATCGCTCGCTCGTATCGCGATGTCTGCGATGGCGCCTTCTCGCACGGTGAGGCCCTGCCCAGCGTGAGCAGTGATCGCGAAATACGGACACAGCGGAAGCTGTCTCCTCGACACCTTCAGTTTGGGGTGTTTCCGGCGGTGGTCCAGGTGCCAGACGCTGCGAACCGGCGCCACTGGGAGGACGCAATCGTTGGCGATGCCTTGGACGTGCCACTGTCGCTTTGTCTTAAAGCGCACATAGACTGCAGTCGGCAGTTTCGTCCAGAAGCGGACTTCTCCGTCCTGTTTGCTCGGCTCGGCCGTGGGGATGTCGTCCGCGCAGCACGCCCCTCTCTCGATCCAAGTGGTCCGTGGCAGCCACGGGCATGCCAATACACAGCGGCAATGCGCCGTAGAGATCTCCGGCTTCGCGATCATGATGTTGCAGCCAGGCCACCTTGTCTTCGTCCAGACGGGGCTTTTCTGCTAAAACCTCTGCTGAGGCCCGATCTTCTGCGATAGCATAATACAGTCTCTGCCGCGTCTGCGCTGCAAATCTGCGCGCGCTTACGGTTCACGTGGTATTTCACGCTGTTGGTGGCGAAAATACAAGTCGCCTCCTGGAATTCTCTTTGGAAGCGCGGATCGCTCTCTGTCATGGCGACGAGTGCCTTCGAGCGCCGCTCTTCGCGACACTTTCTGCATTCTTCGCGCAGGATGCGTGCTGGGTCTGCGTGCTCCGCCTCAAGTTTTGCGCAGTTTTCCTCGCCGCAAGCAACGTTGCGTCCTTGCCAGCTCCCGGGGACCGACGTCGGCTGCCCGTGCAAGAACGCGTGCGTTGACGCTGACAGCTGTCCGTGTCGGAACTCTTCTTGCACCTCTCGCAGCCACTCGTCCTGTGCGCGCTCGCACGTGACGAGCTCTGTGACTCCTTGGATGCCGTTTTTTTGGCCCGCCCCAGATCAGCTGCTGGCCGCGCGCCGCGTGCGGTAGTTTCGTGTAGACCTGGAGACCATGTTCTGCTTGCTTGACCTGCTTTCGAGCAGTCTTTCGAGGGTTACAACCATAGCTCAGCGAAAATGGATCTAACAAAACTCAAATGGTCTAAGAATGGCCCATGCGTAAAAGAGCCACGCTCACAAACCCAGATTCCCTGCACAAGAAGTAGCCGGCTGGCTGACACTCATTCCACAACTCCCCTGAAAAGTTGCAACTGACTGGTGTTGAAGACTCCAAAAAAAGAAACCGAGGAAGCCCTGTGAGATCCCGAAAAGGGAGGGGGTGGGGTCTGATCATCACTCAAGTACGCAGAGTTGTGGCTCGGCTACTGGGGTTCAAGTTTATAGTGAAACCAAAAAACAGCATCAAACATTGCACTTTTTTTGTGCTCGAAAACCACAAGTAAATCCAGGGGTCGGCGGCACTGGGCGGCAGCCCTTAAATATGTGTGTTCCCTGGTTAGTCGAAAACAAAGGGACCCCAAAAGACCAAAAAAAAGAAGCTAATTCTGGGGAAGTGGAGTGGAGTGAAGGGGAGCGGAGCGGAGTGGAAAGGAGCGGAGTCGAGAGGAGTGGAGTGAAGGGAAGTGGAGCGGAGTGGAAAGGAGCGGAACGGAGTGAAGTGGAGTGAAGGGGAGCGGAGCGGAGTGGAAAGGAGCGGAGTGGAGAGGAGTGGAGGGGAGTGGAGCGGAGTGGAAAGGAGCGGAGCGGGGTGGAAAGCAGCGGAGCGGAGCAGTGGAGTGGAGTGAAGGAGCGGAGCGGAGTGGAAAGGAGCGGAGTGGAGAGGAGTGAAGTAGAGGGAAGTGGAGAGGAGCGGATCGGAAGGGAATGGGGGGGAAGGAGCGGAGGGGAGCGGAGTGGAGTGGAGGGGAGCGGAGTGGAGCGGAGTGAAGGGGAGCGGAGCGGAGTGGAAAGGAGCGGAGCGGAGCGGAGCGGAGTGGAGTGAAGGGGAGGGGAGTGGATCGGAAGGGAATGGGGGGGAAGGAGCGGAGGGGAGCAGAGTGGAGTGGAGGGGAGCGGAGTGGAGCGGAGTGAAAAGAAGCGGAGTGGAGTGGAGTAGAAAGGAGTGAAGTGGAGGGGAGTGGATCGGAAGGGAATGGGGGGGAAGGAGCGGAGGGGAGCGGAGTGCAGTGGAGGGGAGCGGAGTGGAGCGGAGTGAGGGGGAGCGGAGCGGAGTGGAAAGGAGCGGAGTGGAGTGGAGCGGAGCGGAGTGGAGCCGAGCGACGTGGAGGAGTGGAGCGGAGCACAGGGGAGTGGAACGGAGCGGAGTGGAGCGGAGTGAAGGCGAGCGGAGCGGAGTGGAAAGGAGCGGAGCGGAGTGGAGTGGAGTGAAGGGGAGGTGGATTGGAAAAAAATGAGGGGAAGGAGCGGAGGGGAGCGGAGTGGAGTGGAGGGGAGCGGAGTGGAGCAGAGTGAAGGGGAGCGGAGAGGAGTGGAAAGGAGCGGAGTGGAGTGGAGTCGAGAGGAGTGGAGTGGAGGGGAGTGGATCGGAAGGGAATGGGGGGGAAGGAGCGCAGCGGAGTGGAAAGGAGCGGAGCGGAGCGGAGTGCAGTGGAGTGGAGTGAAGGGGAGGGGAGTGGATCGGAAGGGAATGGGGGGAAAGGAGCGGAGGGGAGCGGAGTGGAGTGGAGGGGAGCGGACTCAAGCGGAGTGAAGGGGAGCGGAGCGGAGTGGAAAGGAGCGGAGTGGAGTGGAGTAGAGAGGAGTGGAGTGGAGGGGAGTGGATCAGAAGGGAATGGGGGGGAAGGAGCGGAGGGGAGCGGAGTGGAGTGGAGGGGAGCGGACTCAAGCGGAGTGAAGGGGAGCGGAGCGGAGTGGAAAGGAGCGGAGTGGAGTGGAGTAGAGAGGAGCGGAGTGGAGGGGAGTGGATCAGAAGGGAATGGGGGGGAAGGAGCGGAGGGGAGCGGAGTGGAGTGGAGGGGAGCGGACTCAAGCGGAGTGAAGAGGAGCGGAGCGGAGTGGAAAGGAGTGGAGCGGAGCGGAGTAGAGTGCAGTGAAGGGGAGGGGAGTGGATCGGAAGGGAATGGGGGGGAAGGAGCGGAGGGGAGCGGAGTGGAGTGGAGGGGAGCGGAGTGGAGCGGAGTGAAGGGGAGCGGAGCGGAGTGGAAAGGAGTGGAGTGGAGCGGAGTCGAGAGGAGTGGAGTGGAGGGGAGTGGATCGGAAGGGAATGGGGGGGAAGGAGCGGAGGGGAGCGTGAAGGGGAGCGGAGCGGAGTGGAAAGGAGCGGAGTGGAGTGGAGTAGAGAGGAGTGGAGTGGAGGGGAGTGGATCGGAAGGGAATGGGGGGGAAGGAGCGGAGGGGAGCGGAGTGGAGTGGAGGGGAGCGGAGTGGAGCGGAGTGAAGGGGAGCGGAACGGAGTGGAGCCGAGCGACGTGGAGGAGTGGAGCGGAGTTTCAAGGATTACTGCGATCCCCTGCGCCAGGCCACAAAAAACGTGGTCGCAGATGGTCTGCATGGGCTCACTCATGATGCACAAGCACACGCTGCACCTGATCCAGCTGGCACTCGAACGTCGCTGGATCGCACATGGCACCCGAATGTCACCCCCCACCCCCCACCCCCCACCCCCCTCCACCCCCGGATTCAATGGGCTTTTGTTCGCAGGTTGAATGGGCGATGGAACTCAGCAAGGGTGGAAAAATGGAACGGCGGCTTCCGCCAAGGCCTGTTCGCCGGGTTCCGCCGGGCTCGTTGGGCGAGATCCGCCCTTCCCCCGACTTTTCCACACCAGTTGCCGAAGCTGCACACGGTTCATGTTGCAGGGGTTGCTCGCATTGGCTTGCTTGCCGAGGGAAGTGATGTCGCTGGAAGTGGGAACCCGTGCGAAATTGAATGATTTACACAGACTATCCACCTTGATCCCTGATGCATACCAGGAGCAAGACTTGCCACGGTAAAGGGCGGGCCGATCAAAAGCAGCAGTGGCCAAATCCATGCAAACAAAATGACGCTCGGGGTGGCGAAAACATGCTACAAACAAATGGAGTCCCTGCAACACATCGTGGTGATCATCAAAGTGGCCACCCCACTCTGTTGGGTCAGTGCGCGATGGCGACCCCTGCAACAACAATAGTCCGGTCAGACTGACGATGTTCTTCAATTTCACTAGCAAACTGGAGGCGCCACTTGTTGTGCACTTTTTGGTGGCTTCCTGCATGTTTTCGTTCAGGAACCGCGCCCAGGTTCTCAAGGCAGTGGCTTGGCGAGGGAAATGCCAACATACTAAAAGAAACTTTAGCAGCCAGAGCTTCACACCGGACGAACGCATTGCAAGTGCCATATGCGAGGCATCAAGCTAGCTCTTAAAAAAGAAACATCCAACGATCAAGCACTGCAAAAGGGGATCCTGCGAACCCACTCTGAACTATGGCCAAGGTGCTCTCATGAGAGCCCGACTCAAACTGAAGAACCGCCCCTTGCTAGTCCCGCCCATCGGGCCGAGGCTTTCCGACCTCCCCTGCCACTCAGTGAGCCAGGCCGCACGAACTGTCCCGCAAAGCGCTGCTCATCGGGATGCACTATCCTAAGGAAGCAGCAGCAGCGCCAGACGCGTTGCGTTTCAAAGCAGTGAAACAGCAAAAAGTGGATTGCAAGAACACCAAAATGAAGCGGGTGTTCATGTTGCGGCCACATGTTGGGCCATCGGAAAGGGAAATTCGGGCATCCTTTGGGACGCAAACCCATCCACCAAAGGTCAAGGACTGCAAGCCCTGCAATCCGCCTCATAGCCTGCCCTCAAGTTGTAAAAGGATTGGCCACCCCGCCCCGCGGCTTCAATTGCACTTGTTGACGCCACGTTCGTAACATTTCTGTCCGCGGAGGGGGCCTGGGGACTCCTCTTGCATCGAGGCGTCTCTTCGATTTTAAAGCCCATGGCTTCAAATGGCAAGGCGGAAGGGCCAAGGGCTGGATGTCTGCCTAAACTCAACACCTATTACACGTGTAAATGAACACATCAAATCTGAAGTGTTCTGTTTCGCCTTGCAATTCTCTCTCTCTCTCGCTCTCACCCACGTACAACGCAAAAAGGCCCACGTCCGCGAACACTGAAAAGCTGAAACTACTGTATAGGCAAACAAATGTGGATGGACAAAGCTTAGTGCACTTACCTCGGTACGTCTTGACGGCTAAGCTCTGAGAAGGGCGATGGTCCGGCGTTGGTGCTGGGTGATGCTGGAAGGTGCAGCAAGCTTTATGTACAAGCAGGGCCGTGCTGAGAGCCTGCAAAGCTATTGGCGCACACACACGCCAAGAAGAAAGCTGGATTCACCATGTCAAGCAGCTGCCCGGCAGCGGCCGTTTCTTGCAATTCATGTTTTGTTTGCACACCACTCCTCCCTCCTGTGACCTTCTACCGCAACTCTGCCGGGGCCGTCTCCGAGTGACATGGATCAATCAGCTGCGCCCTACCACATGGGTATGGCTCAAAATTAAATTAAAGAGCTACGGTTACGCAGGCGCTAGTCTTTGGATCCATTTGCCAAGGTGCCATTTTGGTTCCACATTTTTTGAGCCACAGCCAAATCACCAGTAGCCGATGAAAACAACTTCACCTTCCACAGACCTCCGACCCCCGAACTCGGCTGATCGAGGGCCCCGCTCCGCAAGCTGCGCCTCGCGGGGTGTTCACAGCGCGGTGGGAATTCTGTGCAGATGTCGCGCGGCTGAGCTTTGGCGCTCAGAAAAAAGTTCTTGGGTCAAAGGAAATTTGCGGCTTCTTCCGATGCGCAGGAAGCCCTACTCAGACCTTGACTTGAGTGGAAGAGGCGTTTTCAATCCTAGAAGGGCACTCCTGAGCCGCACTTACAGGCCAGCCACAGATCGACATTGAAGCCACCAACCCATCCAAGACATGTCCTGATTCGGATTTGCCCATCCAAGGTGTTTTTGCTTGGCCTGCTTTTCTTTTCTGGGCATGACGTGCAGACCCTACCGCCCTGGGCAAACCGCCCAGTCCAGGACACACAAAGAAAACAAACAACCCCCGTAAGACCGTCCCAGAAAGGCACAACGGAAGGGAAAGAAAACGGAAAGACAGAGAATCTAAGACAAAGGGAGACAGAGATAGAGAGAGAGAGAGAGAAATAATGATAATCATAATGATAATGATAGAGAGAGAGAGAGAGAGCCAAAGAGAGAGAGAGCCAAAGAGAGCCAGAGACAGAGTCAGAGAAAGTGCGGGAGAAAGAGCGAGAGAAAGAGAAAGAGGGTGAGGGTGAGGGAGGGGGGAAAGCAAAAAAAGACTCACCACTGCACGAAGAAAACACCTCTCATGCCCGAACCCCCTCTTCCCCGAACGCTCCTCGGCCTTTGCAGGGGCAAGGAGCTGCGACAGCTCCAGCAGGCCCCAGGAGATGCCTAGGCCGTTTTGAGGCCCGGCTGTCGGCTGCTTGGATGGTACGGAGGTGCCATTGGCCAGCCAGAAATAAGGACAGGCGTCCAAGCAATCTAGGAGAACTACTTTATGGAGTGCTTCAGGAGAAATGACTGCAACATTTGGGGAGAGCCCCTGAAAAGGTCACATGCGCACGGCTCTGGCCCTAGCATAGCAGCGGAAGGCCGCTCCATGCCGCTCTCAAGCCCGTCGACGAGCAGGTTGGAACAGGAAAAGCAACGCCCAACCAAGCAGGGGGTCACAGCGGCGGGGGGATCACTTTGGTCGCAGTTTTTGGATCACTTTGGTCGCAGCTGAAATCCACTCACTTTGGTCGTAGTTTGAGCATTTGCGGATCACTTCTGTCGCAATTTTTGGATCACTTCAGGCGCAGTGGAAGATAGCTTTTTGAGCACTAACAACAGGACACACGCAAAGGGTGTTGCCTCTCAAACACCTAACAACAAGACATGCCGCGTGGGGTGGGGTCGACAAGGATGTTGCCTCTCAAACACCTAACAACAAGAACTGCCGGGTGGGGTGGGGTCGACAAGGATGTTGCCTCTCAAACACCTGACAGCAAGACATGCCGGGCGGGGTGGGGTCGACAAGGATGTTGCCTCTCAAACACCTAACAACAAGACATGCCGGGCGGGGTGGGGTCGACAAGGATGTTGCCTCTCAAACACCTAACAACAAGACATGCCGGGTGGGGTGGGGTCGACAAGGATGTTGCCTCTCAAACACCATAGTCAACGGCGAAGAAACTAGGACCGAAGCGAGTAAGGAAACTAGGACCGAAGCGAGATGAAAACTAGGACCGAAGCGAGCCAGCAACTAGGACCGAAGCGAACCCGCGACCGGTCACAACTGCAAAAACCAGACACGGACCACAAGCTATGTTTAATGTGTATCAGTCAGGTCTGACTCGGCGCCCCTGAAGCTGCTTTTTTAAGCTGACCCGCATTCTGGACAATTGGTCCAACCTGTGTCTAGGAGACGTGTCTGGAGCTCTGGTTGCAAGGCTGCGCCAGATGCGCAACAAGGCAAAGACTTCGGCAGTACCCTCAAACCTCACAGGCGTCACAGGCGTCACTGGGATCACTGGAGTCACGTGTTTCTTCAGACGTGCTGCTCACGTCGCCCTGGTGCGGCCGGGTAGGCTTGAGCTAGGCTATAAGCGATCGCTAGCACCGTGGTTGGCACGGCGCCCGTGGTGCCCCGGGGTAACTCAAGCCTTGAAGGCATTGACGAAGCCGTCATCCAGCCAGCTCTCGAATGTAGTGTGCTCTCCGCAAAGCTTCATCGTGTCTTCTGAGAAAGGCACCGCCGCCTCGCCCTTCTGACCCATGTAAAGGAACAGCTCTTGCAAGAAGGGCGGAAGAAAGGTGAGCGCGTCGTAGGGCAGCTCTTCGTGTTTGATTTCCTTGCCTAGCTTCTTGCTCAAGATGCCCACGACCTCCTCAAATGGCGCACGGCTCTCATCCTCTGATCCGCTCTTAGGTGCTTGTTTGAAGCTGCCTACACCAGCGAGTCTCCGCCACAGCGCCCCATCCACCGGTGGACATCCAAAGGGCCGACCCAAAAACCAAGAGCAAAGAACTCCCACAGGCCCGCGAGCTCCCCCCAAACGCTTGCGGCTTTGCCGTTGCGGCCGTTTTGCCCCTGCCACCTTCCCTAGGCTCCTTGGTGGTGAGCTTCCGCGGCCCGCTGATCTCGTAGCACCTCCCCCGGTGCGGCCTTGGGTCGCCCAAAACGGCGGCCGCCGCGCGGCCCATGTCGCGGGGGTCCACCGCGGGGATGGTGAAGTTGGGCCACCGCACGCAGCCCGCCTCGCTCCAAGCAAATGACCCTCGAACATGACCCGCAGAATTAGAATTAGAAAGACGGAGCTCAGTTGCACCGCTGTTCTGAGGCTTCCTGAATGGGCAAATGTGAAATGAGGGATCTCACAACCTGCGCAAGCAAATGGCATGAGGTCGTGCCGCATAGTGTTTCAAAACGTCTCTGGAGCCTATCACATATGATGGTCTGTCCAATTTGTCATATCTGTCAGTGTTGCGCAATCGCAGCCATCGCCAAGCAAGACAAAGCTGACTGCTGACACGCAAGGTGAACGGAGCAACATAGGTGCCACGTGCAGGCGCAAGACGTGAACGCACATCGGTGAAAGATTTGCATCACAAGCTGCGACGCTCTCCCCCCCCCCGGCCCATTTCGGAATTTGCTTGAAGCCCGTTCGCGCACTCGTCGCTCTGGCCTGGATGCCCTCCTTCCAAGCTAAGTAATTCTGGAAGAAGAAGCCGCTGCGGAGAGAGGTGAAGTTGGGCCCCCCGTCTTCGCTGAGCTCCTAATACATTGGGGGAAGGACACAAGCTTCAGGGTAGCAACCGCACAACCAATTCTGAACATGTCCCTTGTTTGAAACTGCAACCGCCCCATATCTTGCATGCTGATTTGAGCCCACCCGCATCCTTCAAGAGCTTCTCAGATGGGACGAATCGCGAGGCGAGGCCCTTCAGCTGCTCAGGCGCATGGACAGTCCAGCTGCCAATGTAGACAATGTGTTCAACGCCCGCAGCCCTGGCAGCATTGATCATGTTGGCGGTCCTCAGGATGGCGTGCACGCTGCCGTATCAATCAAATGGCCTCTCCCGGCAGAACATAATTTTGATTTGTCGCCGTTCAACAGCAAGTGCCGAGGTAAAAACTTTGAGAGCGTACTGTCATCCAATCTATGCCCCGTAATCCAACGCCCGACAACCAAGGATGGCAGAAGACATCCCTCGTTGGACGTCACTTCCATCTGAGGCTCATGGCCGCGTCGTCGTGCATGCCAGCTGCGGGATCATGGGGCGTCACGATCACTGCCTTCCAGAGTGTCCCGCCTTGTGGCTTTGAGCAACAAGAGTGGGCTTCCCGAAAAAAGCGTAGGATTGGTTGATCGAGATGTTCGTTGGCAGCGTTGGATGGAAAACATGCGCGTGCAGAACATGTGGTCGTGAGCGCACACATGGCTGTGCCACTGTGGCTTTGATGATGTCCGCAGTTATTTCACACCAAAAATCAAAGCCGCCAGGCGGAGGATGGAATGAGGGCGTAGGCATGGGGGCTTCGAGCCAATTCGCAGGTTTGAGTGGCGCTCCCCTGGGGCGGAAACGCCCCATCTGGATTCTGGCAATTCATCTCTCGAAAGATTCCCCCCCAATCCACCCAGGTGCCAGCTGCGCGCCCGCGAAGGCCGGCGCCACCGTCTCCACTCGAGCTGCATCGATGCCCGACACAAGCTCGGCCTGCTTACAATCGGTCAGCAGCTTCGAGGCCCTCTCCTGGGTGCAGTGACCAGGCTGCCCAGGGCTATGGTCTCCGCGCTTTGGGTCGAGATGTGTTTTGGATCTTTTCACGGTTCAAACAAGAGTCTTTTTGAGTCTTCTCATGCATGGACAGGGGCACTGTTAGGGAGGGGTGCACGCTTACACCTTCACTTTCGAGAGCTTGCGGTGGCACCAACAACAAAAGGAACCTGGGTCAAGTCGGGCCTGAAGTTCCTGAGATTCGGATTGTCGGGAAGAATCTGAAAATCGGTATGAAATATCATGCTCACTCAAAATGAAGAGTTTCGACCGTCACTGGAGTGTGGTCAGTGTGATTTACACCAAGTCCCGTTCGGCAATTGTCTGTGGTGAAGCGAACAAGTACCGGCTTTTGTGCATCGATTGCCTCTCCCCTTGAAAGTTGGGGCATGAGTGCCGCGAAGCCGCGTGCCCTGCATGGCAGGCCTTGCAAAAAATATTTGGAAAGCACGGCACTAAAGCACAACGCGCTAGGCCAATTGACATTGCATGTTCAATCCACTGTTTTTCGCAACCGAGCAATCCGGCGCTGTCCTTCAAATCCCTTTATCCTCTCCAACCATCCGACAGGACGTTGCCTGTTTCAATACACACCCAGCCCGCCCCCTCACAACCGCACATCCCCACTCTGGGCAAGGTGCCGCACTACGCGCTGCAGCACGGACTCTCACCTGGCCCTTCGCCAGCAACGACCTCACCGCTTGAGCTCCCGAGTTGCTGGTGGCTGGCACAACTACCGCTAGCGGCTGCGCTGCCAAACGCCGAACGGCGACGTGCAAAGCCATAGGTCGTCTGAAGCTGAATGACACTCAGCCGAGGCCCTCAAAGGAAACTGCGGCACACATTGAATGACCGTCTCCGTAAGACTGTCGTAGAGCAACCATCGCCACTGGGCAAGCAAACATCCACCTTCATGGCGCAGGAAGGTATCTCTGGGTACATTAAAGCATCCAAGCACGGCGCAGCAACCAGCACAGCCCTGCCCCTACACTATCGCTGACTGCAGGAGGCGTATCAAACTATGCAAACCAGCGCAGGTCCGGCCGCCTTTGAGTCCCCTGCTGCTCGCTGCAGCTCTGAACCCGGAAAGAAGAACCTGCCATTCTGGCTTGGGTTGACAACACGGGCGATGGGTCGACAAGGCCAGGGCCCTGCCTATAAGCGCGCAAAACTTACAAAAATATGTTGTTGGCTTGGTGAGCAATCCAAACTGTCTCACTGTTCCCAGCTTTCTCCGGACATGGCCGTAACCAATTTGAAGCTTCTGATTGCAAGGGAATCAGAACAGCTTATGCATCCGAGTCGACCGAGGTCCACCCATGATGCCTGCGACGGCAGCGCCGGCGCTTGCAGCGCCGTCGCTTGAGGCACCTGACCCAAGGCACCAGTGCCACAAACGGGAAGAAACTCTCATCGACAACCCTAGGTGGTGTTCACGGGTTGCAAAATGTGCGAGCACCACTGCAAAGGCTTCCTTGGCTCATCAGTTTCTGGCTTAGATATGCCGAGAAGAGAAGCACTTGCGACCTCTTCGTGTCTGCTTGCTCTGTGTCAACACTGTCAAATGCCTCCGCCTGCACGGCCAGCGTTTCAGGCTGTGGATGAGATAGCTCCTCGGCTGCCGTTCGAATCCTCATGCAGGTCCTCCCCATGAAACGCAACTATCCCATCTGCCAATGACAACAAATAAAACCGCAAAAACATACTTCAAAGTCGCCAAGGCGCAGCCATCTGCACCACCATGATCTCGCCGGTGTCTGCGCGACTCACCCTTGCACGGGGTGGCGCGGAGATTGTGTCCAGGGCAAGCCTCAGGGCTGCTCAGATCAGAGCCCAGCGCAAAATTATACTAGCATAGGCCCCAGATAACGTACAGCAACACCCTTGCCAGAGGTCTCTGCCAATTGGTGGGTTTGCTTACTGATGTTTTGCCGGATTTGCTTAATGTTTCCGGACAGAACGGTCAAAACATTTCTCACAACAGAGTGTTCTGGCAACTCGCTCGCCAAAATCTGCACAAATGATACTGCAACATTGGCAGTCGCTGGCGGGAGTTTTGGTCCATTCGCTTAACGCGCTGCCTCTCCGGGAAAACTGCGGAAAAACGACGGCGCCGGGACCGCGCCGGAAAACCCCTGCAACAGCACCCTGCGCAGCTCTGAGTCTCGGCCTCTAGCAGCTGCGCAACGCTGAGTCTCGCCTGCGGCAGCACCTCGGACAGCACCCTGTGGAACTCTGAGTCTCAGCCTGCAACAGAACCCTGCAACACCCCCGGCCAACAGCCAGCACCCTGCAAGAGCGCCCTGTTCAAAGCGCTTTCAACAGCACCGCGACAGCGCCCTGCAACAGCACCCTGCAGAAGCACCTTGCATTAGCACCCCCTGCAACAGCACCTTGCAGCAGAACCTTGAACTCCGAGCCCCGGCCTGCAGCACACCTTGCAACCATCTGAGTGTGACCTGTAGCAGCAGCCTGCAATAGTACCCTGCAGCAGCACCCTGCAACAGCACCTAGCCGGAATTCTGAGCCTCACCCCCTTCAGAATAGGGAGATATGTATATGATATACACAAAGATATTTGTATGTATATTAGACATACGGTTACATACATATACATCTTCTGTCAAACTTATGTCTGTGTGTGTGTGTGTGCGTCATCTTGCTCAACCGACGATTCTGGATGGTCAAACTTAAACTCGTCCAGCCCCCCCCCGCCCAAGCATCCCAAGCGTCTATCACGAGCTGTTTGTGGACTGAACTTCTTGTGCAGGCTAAGGGATCTAGTCTACCAGGCCCTAAATCTCATGAAGCCAGCCCATCACACGTGCCAGCGCTTTGGAAAGAAGCACATCTCTAAGAAAAATAATGAGGGAGTTCTTGCCAGATTGCCCGGACTCCGAGGCGACCGCTTGCGCAAACAAAGCCTGCCTAATTTTATATGTTGGGTCTGCTTGCTGCATTGCCAAGGTATATCCACGTTGAATGCCCTGTCAATGTAGCGGGGACATCCAATGCTGCTCAAAGACTCGGACTTTGAGACGGCATTGAAAGCAACATGGAAATAAGACCTATCGTGCTGATGTGCTGAAAACTTCCTATGAGAAATAGCTACAGGGAGAGAACACGATTCAAGTTCGAGGGGCAGAATACCAACGCATTCCGTGTCAGAAGGGAAGTTCTGCAAATTTGCAGAAATGTCGAACTGCCCTATGCTGCCAGCTTGCTAACGAGTCGTGATCAAGGAGGGGAAGCTCGGGAAAAGCAAATATTGTACTGTGCACCTTTCAGGAAAACTGGAACCTAAAGGAGAACATCGTACTTTGCAAGCGGGCCCCCACTCAGCCACGAACGACGCGTGGGCACACGTACAGTACATTTTTGATAGTGACGTACTGTGCATTCATCACATCAACATCATCCGAGCAGCACTCGGACCGTTGCCAATTGTCCATCGCCTCAGTTCGCAAACCCCCCGTTCAAACAGGAAAGGAATCAGGCCCATGAACAGGAGCCCCTCGACAAAAAACGAAGAAAAAAAAAGACTTCGCGGTACGGGAGGAGAAGGGGGCGGTCCAGCTGAGAAGCTGCATATACTTTTTGCGGTTTTGGGCGAACACGAAGTAGCCCAGGGAATCAAAGAGGTACACGTGGTTCACGAAGTACCAAAAGAACCCAGTCCCAATGCACAATGTAGAAGGTGCCGGTGACCAGATTGTGGGAGTGACAGTTAATGAAGATCAAGTTTGGGGAGGTTGGGAAATAGGTTGAAGAAGGGAAGTTTGTGTCCAAGCCCAGGACGATCACGCAGAGATCCTCCGCCCACCTCCCAGTGCCTAACCACGGCGACGTCAGGACCCTTTTCCCGACGGCGAAGCAGTCAGCCGCACTATGGCTGGCGCAAAAAGAATCCGTGACCCCCCTGACGGGAGGGCAAAACTCGAGCCAAACGGCCATTCGGCCGTTTTGCCACATGACGAAACAACACGTGAACAAAACACACCCCCCTCATCCGATATCTGGACGAGAGAAAGGATGCGAGACAGTTGAGTTCACGACGAAAGGGACCAACCAAAAATGCCGGTGTCAACTCAGAGGTGAGCCAAACGGCATCACCTGGGCCCCAGTTAAAATCCCGCCACCACCCCGAATTATCGGGGCGACAGGATTATTTGACGAGTGGACCACATGAGTGAACAAAGACATATTGGAGGAACCAGACGAAGATTCCTCTCGTGCCGTTCATGCGTTGTCATAGGACGACACCATGCGGAGGGGGACCCTATCTGGATCACCGCGCCTCACTGCACGCCGTGGAGTGGTTGGAAGAGTAATCGAGTTGGGAGGAAATTAGAAACGGAAGTTCCGAAATTGGTGTGAAAATATCCGGCTACGGCCGGCCCGGCACTTCTAGTGCGGTCACAGCCTCACACAGGATCGCCAGGGGAACCGTCTCCGGCGCGCACGGCAGCGGTGCGGGAGGGACACGAGCAACGCCGGATCAGCGGTACAGGGCAATGGAGACCATCACCCCCAGCAGCGCCGCATGGGCGAGAGGAGGACCGGCGCGGTCGCGTTTTTCGGCGACACACGTACTATCCTCGCCCTTCTAAGGCGGATGCTGATTGCGGTACCCGCCTACCACCCTGAACCAGGTTCTTCCCGGTCCCTGGGCACGTCGTCTCTCCGGCGTCCACCACGGTCACCTCGATCACCTCCTCCATCCCGACGGCGATCCTCACCACCACCCCTATGGTGGTCACCAGCCGGAGGTCGGCGAGGCGGAGGGGGATCTGATTGGTGACGTCGGTCATCCCTGCGCCGGTCCCGGTGGCGATGACGGTCGGTCATCATCCCTGCGCCGGTCCCGGTGGCGATCGCGACGGTCGTCACCCGGGTCATCACGTCCGCGGCGCTCATCTCGCCCCGGACCGCGCCTCTCGGAGGTCTCCTCATGACGTGGAGGAGGTCGGCGATCATCGCGTCGGCCTCCGCGGGTATCCCTGCCACGATCATCCCTTTGTCGGGGCGGGCCAGGATCCTCGCGTCCACCTTTGCCAGGTCGATGTTTTCCTCGACCCTTCCCCTCACCCTTTGGACCGCGACGATCCTCGCGGGCCCCAAGCGCGGTCCTCGACCGATCGTCATCTCGGCGGGGCCGCGACTCATTTGCCGCACGAGTGGTCCGAGGCACACCCGGGGGAAGCTCCCACTCGTCGTTGTCGTCATCGCGCGGGTCATAGCCGCCATGGCCGCCCAAGGAACCGGTGGCATCCCGTGGTGGGGACGCAGGAGTTCCGGGACCGCCCGATCGAAGACGAACCCGGGGAGTCGCGTCCTCGCCGGTAAAAGGATCCTTCTGGGTGTAGAAGCCCTTGGTTCTGCCCCTTCTCTCCCCCCCTTCCGCACCGCTTCTCGCGGGGACCGGGGATGGACGGGCAGGCTGGGCCATGCTCTTAGAGCTGGGTTGCCCGCCAGGCGGGACTTGAACGCCCCCTGCCCTTTCTCGGGCGCGGGGACCCGGGATGTCCTCCTGGCCTTGGGTTGGTCGGACTCACCCTCCAGCTCGGACTCGGTGTCAGGGACACGAGTATTGATGGCCATGTCCTCTTCCTCAAACGGATCCCCAGTCGTAGTAACGCCTGCCGCACTGGGAGCGGGAGGAGGAGGAGGAGGAGTTGGCACAGCATCGCCAGAAATGACGCCTGCATGCGGCACCACGGGAGTCTCCGGTTCTACCGGGACAGGCGGCGCAGGAGGAGCCGGGGGCGGTGGCGGAGGGGGAGGG